TACATACGCAATACGCATTCAGGGTAAGTGCAGTTGAGCTGTTGGTCATAGTTTGTAATCTATTTCATAACTTACTAACTTACTCTAGAACCTTGAAGTGATCGTTTTCTTGGGTTATCTGCGTTTCCCATGCAGCACGCGCAGCAGGGCGCGCAATGAACCGGGAGAACTTGAATGGATGCAAGTTCGCACTATACGTCCAAAACATGCAACCGTTTTATCTCAGGATAAATCGACGCCTAATGTTGTCTATGATTCAAAACTACTTGGAAACCGTGCCTAATCCTTTCTTCTGACTCGGACAGATATTTACAGGTTTGTGTTTTCCCACGTTCTGTCGACGTTGGGTATCAACAAACCATAATGGTCCACGTGCGGAGAAAGACGTACGACTAGGGAACCGCATTCTGTACCTCCCAAACCTCTCGACTACATTTGGGTGAAAAGGGGGAAAAAGGGAGATGCAAAATTATATTAAGTCTGTTGAATGAAACCCAGCTGTATGCAAATGATGAGAGCATCTTTATTCCATAGGGAAATGGAGATATAAAGAATCAAGTGTGTAGACGATGTGATTTTGTTGTGATTAGGGAGTTGATGGCTGGCTGGTGGGAGCAGAGACGGCGAGACGAACGAGCAACGCTCCGCTTGCTCGTACGATGCCGTTCAACCCGGCTATGTCATATACAGGGAACACTAATTTATAAACGTACTTTATAATGAAAGCCAAGGCAATGGATGTCAAGATTTAAGTTGCCAAGACCTGTCCGTCACAAACATGTGTATCACATCATTTCACAATCATGGCAATTAGGCGGTATAACCAGACTGTTTGAATCTATTGGCCTATGCTTTTCAAAGTGAACAATCATCTTGACGTTCGTGCACGACATTATCTACCGTCGCAAAACACAAATGTTCCCACACAATTTGAAATACTTCCCATGATCCACCAAATTGAACGATTAAAAAACACCGTATGCACGCGTGAGGCCTTTCAGCCTTATTCAATCGGATGACCGACACCACCAACAATGAAAACTTACTCGATACCTGTGTAAGTGTTTCACCACCTGAAAACCAGAAAGAAAGATAACATTAGGAGCATGAACATAAATTATTATTGCAGAGTAGTCAACTTTCCATTAAAAATGGGCCCATTTATATGCTGAAAATTACCCATTTGCCCCCGTGCCAAAACCAAGCTTGATACGCTATACTGGACATTATAATATGTAAGAGAAGCTATACATCTCGGTATATTTTGTAAATAATTATGATTTGCGTGACCACTGAGTAAGAGTAAAGTTGAGAATGTTAGTTGAGTGCACATGCAACAAACTCCGCGGTATAATAAAATGGGCCAATGGTTCGGATCTTCCAACGGCCCCAATGGGCGTTGAAACGGGCGGTTTCTTTTTCGATCAGAAAAGTTCGTTTTGATGGCCACCTTGTATAATCTAAATGAATATGACAGCCGGCACTCAACATTTCCTTCCTTTTAAGATGTTTCATCTTGACCATTTGACAGTGTGATGATCAGCACCCGACTATATAGCCTAAGTACCAACTAACGAGCCTGACCGATTCGAGAACGCGCGTCATATCGACCGGGGGATCCGGCGTCTTTTGCCCCAGGTGACATGCCGCCCCTCATCGCTAAATCCTCGCTACAGAGTAATGAAGCGTGCCGTCATATTGTTCGCTGTACTCAACGACACCCGTGTTTATGTTGGCCGGAATCAAACCACAGTTCAAGGCCTGCATCGTGGATGCATGCCCTGCTGGCTCCCATCGGTCAATCCGGGTTACACGTTAGGGCGATGAAAATTTGATTTGACAGGGGTTGACTTGTGTTCAGCACAATTCGCTACTGTTCATCTTAGATAAGTGACATCTTAAAATCTAGTATGCTTCAAAACGCACCAAGCAGCAAAAAATCGTAATATGTATTATTGCGTGCACACATTGCATGCACTATTTTATACAGAACCCATTTTGTCTAAATACCATCCACTCGCACCTATTGAGTGCAGCTATAGGCCCAAGAAGTACCGCTGTAAACATGAAAACAAGAACACTGTTATACACGACAAACTTGAAGTAAACGGAGAAAGATAAAAGTGGGGCCTGCATGCCTCCGTAACATCAAGTCATTTTCAAACTTTAAATGGAAGATAACGTTGATTTTGAAGTCACTATAAAAGTCGGGAAAATGCATGTAATGCGCCAACGACATTTCTCATTAATTAATTGATTTGAACAGGTGCAGAACTTAAATGTCTAGCGTCCACAGTTAGGAAGTCAATAATCGGAAGTACCCCCAAACACACAAATACAGCGCTTTTGCAAATCTTGTTCGGTTGAAAAGTTCCAAGTCTTTTTTTTATATTAACATTTGTGGGCTGCAGCCGTCATAAGTTGGCGCGGTATCCCCACACAAGCAGGCACATAATGAAATGCATAATTAAAATCATAATCTCTGTATTTATTCCATATATTTTCATTATAAATCAACAAGCTTCGAGACCAGATTTCCAGCTGACCATATCATGCTCATTATATCCTAAACATTCTCACTATGAATAAAAAATGTTCACGGAAGACTGCACTTTAAAAATGATTCAAAAAGACATAATGAGACCAACGCACAAGTTGGAATCACTTTATGAATGGCGTATAAGTATGGCTCAGTAAACTTGCACGTGCCTCAGGCCAATGTTTGTGGGCTTCCCTTCAACTCCCCTCAAATTAGATATTAATGCTTCAGTCCACCCAATCACTTATTGACAAATAATTTCATGGACTCCGTCCGTTTCTATTTACTGCTTGGCTTCATGTGAGCTACAAAAACTTGAGATGACGATTACCGAATTGAATCACAGTCTTCACACAAAAAATAGGCGATGCTATCTCTTTGTGTTGAGCCGCATCTTACTCTCACTGTAAACATGATATCTTGTTGATTTTGCGATCAAATTGAAATTCCAGAGAAAATGCATAAAATAAAGTGTAACTATCACTGCAATGGATCTCGATGGCAATGGAAAAGATGCGATCGCATTCTCCAAGTTCTTGGTACAAAAACACAAAAAAACACACACAGATATGGTTTAGTTTTACATTTAGAGTCAATGGTTCATATTAATTTACATTATGACTGGAACGTGAGGGCAGTAGCACGGGGTGGAGTCGATGTGAAGTTGGAGGAGGTCGGTGCAATCCGTTTGCTATTTTATTTTCTGGCACCGTGTCAAAAAAAATTGTAAAATTATTTGGGTAGGATTTTTTTAACTCGCACTTTCATAAAACACATGTACAGAGCCAAAAGTTCAGTGAAAGTCACTGTCCTCTTAAGTACAAAGTACATCGACCCACGTTTGCATTATGAACGTACACTAAGCTGCGCCCACCATCAAGGTTTTCATTTTTTATTCTCGTCATGTCCTCAAATCCAACAGTGACTGACTAGAACGCGGGTTTTCCAATAATCCAATCCCTCCCTTTTTATTAACCCGCCTTTTCAAATTCAGGCATTTAAGTCAACATATGTTCCACGAAAAGATTAATAAAACAGAATTTTCAATTTTCTCTGACAGGAGCTATTTCGTGAAACGATACGATTAAAAGAGTCATGATGCGATCGATCTACGTCTGGCTGTACGGAAAATTGAGTTGCTTGAGGGCGCTATAACATGCTGTAAAACTGTGTTGCAGTGCAGCGGTCACTGTGATGGGCCTATTGATTTGGTAAAGGCTATGAAAAAAATTAAATGCCTTAATTATAAAATAAATGCATTAACACATGGACGCAACGTTTCCTGCCGCATCTGTCTAAGAATCCGTAGTTCCAATAGTAAAAGACCGAAAAACATGGCCATACTCAGTACTAGCCTATATACTTAATTGTGAGGATCATGACAATTTGTATCCTATAGTGCCCTTGAAAGTTTAACCACCGTGTTCTCCCCAGGTTAAGGTTAAGTAGAACCGGTACTTAAGGCAAAGTACTACTAAGCCTACAAAAAAAAACAGCTTGCAAGTCAACTCACCCTACACTGAACGGGAAACTAGCACGTTGCAACTACACGTACTGAACACCGTACTATTATTTTATACAAGAGGCCATTCAAATGCAAATTAAGTTACCGTTTTGTGCCTAAGGGGAAAAACTTTCAGAGTTCTTTGGTTGCGAGACTTACCCTTCACTCCAGTAAGAGTCTTTTTGTAACCTTGTCAGGGAACTTTAGCTGCACGCCATGGCCGAAATCTCCTCCTTTTACTTCTAAATCCTCGACCATTTAGGAAGAAATGGACCGGCTACCCGTCGTGTGGTAACTGCAAGACTTTTAAAAATGGCTGCTTGTACAATGTAACCACGTGATCGATAACCGGGTGCTGGAATTTCACCCCTGATTTATAAGACTCATGCTGCTGAATTAAAAGCGAAACATAAATTTGAGTAGCCCACAATTGTTTGTTATATTGAATTAAAAATTTTTTAAATCTATTCTAGATTCTTCGTGTACTTTTGGTTTGCTTTTAAGAACCCGGGGCATGCACTTTGTGATAAAACCTCCTTCCCGCCATAAGGGCGAATCGAGCTGTATATGCGCATGCGTTTCGATCTTGGTAGCGTGCATACATATGAGTGCATGCAAACAGGTACGAATATATGAAAGTATAGGCCATAGCGCAAATGGTCTACCGTATAGCTTTTTACTCTGGGGGCCTTGTCTTTGATCAAATAAATACATGTATAGGCCTAATTGCTGGCAACCCTAAAATTACGAGGGGAGTACAGGGGGATGCAGCACAGGCCACTCCTTATTTACGCCACTTTTTACTTCTGGCTAATTAAGAAGTTTTTGCGTCTCACTGTCAGACGCTTAAGACCGAGTATTATTTTGAGTACCTTTTACTTCCCTATAATTTGGTGTCGAATTTAAAAAAATGGTTTGAAAGTTTTGTCTGATCAAATTGAGCATAAGCAGCGACTGTTACCTTACAACATGTTTGTGTAGCGGATTTTATTTCTTTCATAGCCAGCAACGACGTTTTTATCAATATACATATCATTTACGTTGAAATTCTACGCACTTTATTACATTACCATACAATACAATTTTATATACAATTTACATAATATACAATGCGTATTGTGTACATAAATATGCCTACGTACAAGCTAACATGAGACCTATAGTGCCAGTCCATACTTGTCTAGAATGAGAAGGGAAAGCTTTTTTCATCAGGTCAACAATAATCGTAGTTCCTAGTGATATTCACTGATACAAATAACTATACAGTCGCTTTAACTCTAACATAATTATATTATGTGTGAAACATGAAATGCCTGACCAGAGTTTTGTTTCTAACATGCAAGTCTTCAAACACAATTGTGGATTCGTGGTAAGATTGATCACAACGTACACACGCGTCACCAACAACTTCTTCATGAGGAGGAGGGAACACTGATAATCACAATATGTTCCAATGGTTTAGATGTTCAGATTTAGTATTACATGTTGCTACATTTATTACGTCAAATTGCACAAAACCTAAGAAAAAAATCAATAGATACACCAATTCTACAAAGCACAGGTACACGACTCTATTGATGCTGATTTTGTAAACTTTTCTTATACGATCACTCTGTGCATCCTCTATTAACAAATTAATTAATTGACAACAATTATTCATTCACATCTACTTCTAAAAATATTCATGATTTTGCATGTTACTATACTTCTGCAACGGGTACGTCATCAGTTTTGAAGCTGCTACTGTCTGAATCAGAGACTACAATAGACACAATGCAATGTTGAATTATCGGTGTTAGAATGTTTCTGACAATGTAGCACAGACATTTTTTAAAACCCAAGAGTAAGTACATGTATGTTGTTTTACTGCAGAAATACAGGTGTATATTGCATGTTGTCCATCTCCATAATCGTGTGAAATTTAATTTTGTCAGCCTGAATAAAGGCAAAACAGGAAGGTAAAGCCAAAGATTTTAATTTGAATCACCGCGAGGTTATTTGATTCAGACTAGAAACAAACATCAGCATGATCAGCAGTCACGTGGTAATAACTCTGTGCTAGTAAGCAGCCAGTCATGGTACCAGCCAAGTTCATGGAAGCAGTGAGGATACAATGCTTGATAACAAAACATTTCAAAAGGGTAAAACCCAATATTATTTTTGTTTTTAGGTTCTGGGCTCTAGTCTACTTGTTGACTATTTTGACCCTCTTTTATTTCCAGCCATTAGTAACTTAGAGCATAAAATTGTTTAAACCTTATCTTTCCTTTAAAAAATACCTAAGGAAAAATTCCCAAACTTTCCTCAGTGGTTTGACAATATTGCATTGTAAGGAGCCAAAATGATTTTAAAAAACCATCAACTGCATGGATTCACAATCTAAATATAAGAATTAAGGTAACTTTAAATTAATTTCATCGGTGGAATTTGTTTTAAGAGATTTGTTCTATTTGAATGCAGGAGTAGTATCCTACATAGACAGCAGTGTTTTGCGATTTCACCAATGAGGACGCTCCAGTGCAAAGTCTTGTGGTTTAAAAATCTACGTGCTTTACACACTTAGTTAACACAAGCTAGCTAACAAATATTTCATCATATTGAAACACCTGAGATCACCTAAATGTGTCTTGTTGCTGGAGTCAAGGTTCCGTTTTGTCTTTGCACATCTGGAAAGTCATTTCTTCTTGGTGATGAAATAAATGACAATGATGATAATGGCAAGGAACACAATGGCAAGAAACACCATCAATATACGATTCTGGATTATCCTGCATCAAAACAAATAAATAGGCGTAAATATAGGACAAACTTGGGTTACATGATTAATATTGACTACTCAGACCAGGGTCCTACATCAGTCAAACTGATGCCGACTCAGAAAACAATAAAAAATATGGATAATTTATTCAACCTGTTGTACTTGCAATTCATGCAGTTGGGTTTTAGTAGTGTTCTCCATAAGGTATGGGAGAGCAGTTGTGCGAAAATATATGCTCCCCTTCTAATATTCGGCTACAATGCTCTTTTTAACATCACTTATTTGAAATTTGGGCTTAAAGGGAATATACAAAATTTGCTTTTGCTGTAATTTTCATAAATGGATTGGGGGGGGGGTTTAGTATTTTCTTGCAAATTTTGTTACACAAACTTGTTTGAGGTTTTGAATTCATAAATGCTAGAAAAACCAAGAAAAACAATCCTTTTCTTGTAGTCTGGTTCACTGAACCCACTTAAGATGAAACAGAGCAATTGGAGACGTTTCAAGCGGCGAACCAGTCTAGCTGGCTTGTACCCGTTCATATAGGCGTGTAATTGATTGCAAATAAAAGCAGACTAACTAAATATGGTAAATAAGTGGCAGTATTTGAAAAAAGCCAATTTTTTCCAATGCTGGTCGGCTGACCAGCATTGGGAATTGATAAAAAAAAATACAACTTTTCTTGAAAATGACAGCACACCAGGTGCCATGATTTACCAGGATGCTTTAGACTGTCATCACTAACAGTCCAGTGAGGTAGTTCTTAATAATTTGGTAGTTTTGTTTTTTGATGTTTGCAAATGTTGTATATTCCCTTTAACAAAGAAATGGCTCCATGGATTCCTGATTATTAAAGATTGCGTAAAAACATGAAAATCTATCACCACAGTACAACGGTAATTTCAGGAGTGTAAACACAAAGGCATAAATGCAGGTTTTACTTCTTACAAGAGCGCCCTCTGTGAAGTACTTCTGCCAAGCTGCCTTTCTCAATTTTTATTCCGTGGGGATTACAGAATAATGGTCAAGTCCGAATTGGAAAAAAATGAAATATTACCTACGCATCATTCCACTCAGGACTCGTGAGCTCTGACCAACACCTGCATCTGTATCACGTAACTGGGGAACAAGAACAACATTAAAGTCATTCAGTAATCATAAAACAAAGGAAAAGTAAACTTGATCCCCAGTCAACAGGCATGGGTATGTGTAAGAACTAAAAAGAGGACTATGCATCCCATGAATAATCTGCAGGAGTAGGGAGAGATAAGGATGCCCCCCAAAGGGCAATAGGTCAAAACACTATTTACATAAATGATGTACCAGAATGCTAGACTTGAGAACAAGTTTTGTCCGACGAGGCCCCCAATATCTACTAGCATGGCGCTCATTAGCGCTGTGTATCGTGTTTACATTAATTCCTGGCATCCGACATGTCTAACGATTTGACTAAGATTTCGGACGTCACAATTATTCATTTATTCGCCCACCGAACGTTTCCATAGAGAGGGCCAATGATAACCCGGCTGTATCACTGCGGAAGCATCCATTATTAGAGCGGGGATACAGTTCGCAGCATGCTTGATCAATGCACGCTTCTTTTTTCCTCTCTCTTTTTTGAACGATTTTCGTTAAAATATTAAACTTAGTGGTAAGTTGGAAAATATAATGTCCAAATCTTGTTTTTTCAAATAAGAATATACTGATGTATGGAATTCCAAACAACCCAGGAATTAGCTTTCGACCTCTCGAGCAAATGATTCGCTCCAGGTTGTGTTACATGGTGAGGCATTCGCCATGCAAGTCACACGTGCATTGATACGCATAAATGTCAGGTGTAATATAAATATTCATATCCTCCTGATTCTTAGCCAATCAGAGCGCTCTGTCCAATTTTGGTAGCATTTTCCATGCCTTGTGTACAAACGTGAGTGCAGATTATTCGAGTTGGAAATTGGAATCGACATACAGGCACACGGGGCCAACGATGCAATAATCATTCCCACGTGTTATTATACCACATGCTTCACGTAACTCCAGAACAGTATGCAGTAGTTTACGCCGGTACCAGTATGCTGCGGTACAATACGCGGCAGCACAGGCGGACTAAACCTGGCCAATTACCGACTGGATTTCAAGTTTACCAGAATGCAGGAGAAAGCACTTTTTGCAGGAGCACACCATGTGAAACACCCCCAAACCCATGGGAAAGCCTCGAGCACCAATTCACAGCAAACTCCTTTTCTTACTTCAACTATTTCAGATGTCACTTACCCTTGTTCTGGATCGTTGAATTTTTTCACGGTCTCTGTGCAGATTATCAAGAATGCCTTGACCGAGTTCCTCTTAAATAAACAAAGAAATATCCAAATCAAAGTCATTAAAGGGAGCAAATAGAATTGTGGAATGTTTGGAATTTTTGTAATTGATGGCCTTTACAATTTGGTAAATTAATTCACCTGTTTCTATCGTCATTCTGTAGCCAGCATCAAGTTTCTTCCCGGTTCGTTCCAATCTTTCTGTGTTATCGAGTAACCTTGCTCTCTGTAGTGATCAAAAACAATAAAACATATTACATTACATGACGTGAGCCATTGTTTTCCTATTTCAATTTCTTTGAAATGTTAACATTTTGATAACAGTAGTGCCCTGTGAGATTGAAACTAACCTGATCTTCAGAGTTCCTTGGATCATCCAGTCCCAGAAGTTCATCTCGTGATGCTTCACCATCACGGAATGCTATCTTGGCTTTCCTCTGAAGCAACACAACACAAGACAAAAATGTCAGTTGTTGAGTATCTGTGTGAAGTCAGTACAAGTACACACAGCTGAATGAGATTAAGTTCCTTTTGCTTTTGTATATTTGGTACAAAACACTAAAGCCAAAAGGAACTTGAAAAGGGGCAAGTAGCTAAGGCAACCATTACAGAATGAGCTGTATACACACGACAGTTTTTGACATTGAAACACTCCAACTTGCTAGTTTCACTTAAGTATTTGCAACTGGGACTGCCCAAACTGACTAAACTGATCAGTTTAGTCAGTTAGGACTGACTAAACTGATCTACAATGACACTATGCCAAACTGAGATCATTAAAACCCTTGATATGAGAACATGAAGATACAAAGTTAACCATCAATGCTGCCCAACAAGACATTACTGTCAGGGTGGTTTCCAATGAACAGACTAACGTCAGTTCAGAAATGCGCAGTAGTTGCAAAGGAATGATTCATACATTTCCTGTGTTTAAAATAAAGGTTTTAGGGAACGAGAACAACTGGACTCATTAACTTACAAGATCTTTTTCTAGTCTTGTCAGTTCTGCTTCATAGCTTCTTAGTCGAGTACTGTATCTCTGTCTGTCTGATGATGGTATTGTACGAACCTCCAAATCCATCTGCTCTAACTATAATATATACAGAAATAAATACCTGCATTATTAATTGAGGGAACAAAATAAATAAGTTCTTGGCCTGTTTTCAAAAAGTATTTTTTAAACCGGCTAGTGACCTGGACGAGGATAATGGCCCGAGCGAGGGCTATTATCTGCGACCCGGCCCCTAGCTGGTTTTCAACATACTTGTTTAATACCGCCCAAGTACATATTTATTCCCATTCATAAATACCTTTCAGTCAAAAAGTCAAACAAGTCAACCATTCACAATTTTTCAATAATTGTGAAACACCCCTCTGGCCATATTTATGGTATGTGCCTTGCACACCTAGTGCTAAAAATCTCCTTTTATGGAGATTGGTGCGTGCACGGCGCGTACTGCAGGAGGTGGCGCAGAACGCAGCAGTGCACGAATAATGTGTTTAAAACCAGCCAGTGTTTTATCAGCCTTTTCAAATCTTTCATGTGACAGGCTCTCTACCAATAGGAATATCTGTCTTAGGTATTTATGAATTTGAAGTGAATATTAATGAAAGTGGTTCAATGAGGTGTGGCAAAGCACAAAGCAAAGTCCAAAACCCACATCATGTCCAAAGTAAAGTGCAGTTCCTGAAAACCTCTTCACTGGCTTGACAACATTTACTTTATGTGTAATAATTAACTCATTGCCTTGAGTTAAACTTTACTGCCTAAAATCCCTTCATTTGAAATCAACTACTTTCAATATATTCAATCAGAGACATTGTCATGTCAGAATTCTTATTAATATTATCATGTTGTTTGAACACGACTGAAATAAACAAGATTCAAAAAGCAAACTTTGTTTATCTTTTACTGAAAAACAAAGAGTCAGGTTTCAGTACGGTAGGCCTACTGGGAGTACATGTAGTATTGGTTCTTTGCGTTTATCCATAACATTTGTTAGCACAGCTAGAAGTATTGATTGTAACAGCACAGCAGATGGGTGGGTTAGAAATGTTCATATTCCATCTTTATTCAAAAGGACCAAAGTTTATCTCAAATTTATGTCGAATCAGGTCTCTATCACCACATCAGTAACATATTTGCATATTCATCTGACAAGCTAAACCAATATGGCCAGCTGTGACAAAATTAGGAAATTGTTTTTGGATTACTGAGTTGCTGACATGTATGAAACGTATGACACGTATGTACATGTACTTCATCATTTAAAAGCAATTTGAATTCTTTAACTAACCCGAACTCCCTAGACATTTTTGCTAGGATGCAACCTCAATCCTGCAAAATCCCCCAACTGTCGCTATGTAAATATTGCATACAAGTCTCCATCCTGCAAAATCCTATGTTATTTCTTGTATGTGGTCCTTGGAGGGGTGACCACTGCCTCATCCTGCAAAATTCTCCAGCAATCACTGTCAATATGTTGAGGTGGGCCCAGTGACATCCTGGAGCAGTGCGGAGGATTTCAAGTATAGTGCAGGCCTACAATTATACATGGCTGAGTATAAACAACATAAGGTTCAGCCCAAGACCTTGACACAGTGCATCCTCCAAAATCAGCCACACGTTTTTGCCATATAGCCTCAATCTTGCAAAATTTCCTCCATTTTGCAAAGAGTATTTATTTTTCCAGAAATAAATTAATCAGAGAGCAATAGGGTTGGTGTATTTCATCGTTTTAGAAATTAAAGTACATTTTTAATGATCGAAACACATTCTGTAATCAACTAGATTGAGATTCTAAATTTGCAAAGTTGGCATTATGAATGTTTTGCTGATTTTGTTCTTCAATGCAATGACTACTTATCATAGGTGGATTCTCAGACAAATCTTACCAGTTCCCTAGCTTCATCAATCTGTCGCTCTGCGGAACTGCTTAACTGTTTCTTCTCACCTAAATTTGACACAAAAATAAAAGAACAATAACATGGTGAATTTCCAGTGGTTGGTAATTTCCAGTGACTTCTCTGGTTACAACTGCAACCTTAGGTTTAAATGTTGGACAAATTTTCAAAAAGGTGACGGCCTATATTTACTCAGTCTTAACTTCTAGAGCTGTGGTGTTAGTCTTAACTCCTACTCCTAGAGCTGTGGCGTAACTACGAGGTGGGGTTGGGGGGGGGGGGGGGACCACAGGTGGCACTTGCCCCCCCCCCATCAGCGGAGGTTCATGCCCCCAGGTGCCCCCGCCCCCCACTTTTTAAATCGTGATTTGCACAAAAACAATATATCAGTTGCCCTCAGTGACCCCCTTGAAAAATTGGTGCTACCCTGGATGGCCCAAGAAGCTTAAACCCAAGTAACACCGCTGTTCTAGGGTCAATCGATTATGCTGATTGTATTACCTGAAATAGTACGCCATTTTTTAAATCCAGATTTCAATCAATGATCACCCTGACAAACCAGCTCCCATTAATTTGTTGCACAGTAGCCCAAACAAGCCTCCATGTATGATATAGCTTGAAATTTTCAGCTAACTAATACTACTAGGCTCATGACATGGGGAGATTCACCAGTAGAGCTGGAATTACTTCCCTGACTTAGACGGTGGTTTTCACCTTGTTTTTGCCGATATTTTCCACTTCCGTTCAAATTACAAGCAAAAACTCAAGACAGCAGATTTATCCTTTATGTAAAGGATCCACTCACACTTAGAATACGATCAAGCTCAACCAGAAAAAAAGTGCTGGCTTTTTTTTTAATGCAAGAGCGAGTTCTAGGACACATTAGATTAGAGCATAGAGGATTAGAGGTTTGAAACATCTCTACAAACATGACAAAAGCAAGAGAGAATTTAGAGCATAGCCTATGATGGAATACAATGTTCATTACAACGACGTTTGTCAACATATTTATATTAAAAATGTTTGAAAATTTGATGAACAAAATGGTCAACACACAATCAACAACGCAACAGAACAGAAGCAAAGAAACAGATGGTTTACTTACTTCCAGTTAATTGAGGTATTTTGTTGATTTTCGTTGTTATTTCTGCGGAAATGGAAGCAAACTGATGCTCGAACTCCTCCATAGCTGCAGTAGCCATCTTGAGCTAGCTGTGTTGGCTGTGTACGTGTGTATGCTGACTACGACACGGCCGCGCCGACGACGGCCGTACAATTTAAACTACAACTTACAAGTAGTAGGCCTATGAGTATGACTGATGATCGACCGGCGGCTGAGATCTCGAGTGACTGACTGAGCTGAGACTACTACTTTGTCACATTCGATGGATCAAACTTTGAAAATACAGAATCTCAGGATGAAAAATACACATTAGCGAGCAACTACAAACAAGGACTGAACAGCCACGACCATCTTTTGGTTAATTTTAGGCCTCCAGATATGAAAATAACACCGTTTTTACCTCCCCATGTTTCGATAAAACACGGAACATCTGCACTGCAGCTCTATTATTCAACAGCGCCCTCTACCGACACATGTCTCTAATTATTTCTGTCCTTTTTTCCTCCATCTTAGTTCAGAGAGATCGTGAGCCGGAAAGAGTAAGGGAAACAATCGTCACTCATCCACATAAATTTAATTTATGGGAAGAACATTCGTAAAAAATTAACCGAATGAAATTTCAGTGTACATCAGTACCGTAATTTTGTGCAATTCTGTGGCCGCAAAAGATCGATAATAGTGACTTTGTATGTCCTTAATCTACGGTACGTTACTGTACTATGCATGTACAATACATATGATGTACATAATGTACACAATGTTATCGGCCAATGTACTACGTACATTGTAAAGGGCATGATCTGCAATATAAAAAGAACACATTCCTACGCGTTCAGAAGGGCCACTTATTGAACAAGTTTCTTGAGCATGAAACGATCATCAACATGCGCTTAGGCCCACACAATTTTACAAGTCCTGCAAGTGTGATTTTTCTTGTGTTATTTTAGGTTCATGATGGTTCAGCGTCTTCACTACAGACGTAGGCACACCTACAATACCAAGTCCAACAAAGTCAAGATTGTGAAGACACCAGGAGGTAAACTAGTGTACCACTACCTCAAGAAGAAGCCATCTCCTGCAAGATGTGGTGACACTGGAGTCAAGTTGTTGGGGGTAGGTACCACTGGCACTGCCAAGCCACTGGACGTGCTGCCTTGTCAACTTGTATTTGACCTACATTGTAGGCTTACTTCAGGGGATGAAATGGACTAGCATGATTTATTTTAGTATTACATTGTCACCTTCAGCATGTAAATTTAATAGTAAAGAGTGGGAAAATGTTCGTTTGACATGTTTGAGTGGCATTTAAGTTTTTTCGCAGTAACCTAGCATGACATTTCATGTGTGGTTTTCATATACCAATTTATCAACAATTGTAAGCAGTTCCTATGAGACATTGGAATTTGTGGATGGTTTGTTGACATGTCATGTTCTTTTTTTTCTGTGAAGGTCATTGCTGCTCGTCCCAAGAAGCTGATGTCCGTTCCTCGGCCCAAGAAGAGAGTGACCCGAGCCTATGGAGGCTGCCTGAGTGCTAGTGCAGTCAAACAAAGGTAGGTTAGCTATAAGTTTAGATTACCCATGTTGCACAAAGCAAAATGCCCTCAACGCTTAACAGTCTCTAGCTCTCTAATCTAGCCACAGCCGGCTACAAAGTAACCATAATGTATGAGTCAGTTCGGTATCTCGATGAAGTAGTCCAGGTCAAAGGTCATTCGGGATCAAATGGAAGTGTCTTGTAATCGCGATGTTACTTGCACGCCCATTTTGCTTGTAATTAACATGTGAGGGTCGTGCGGCTGTCTCCTTGTGCGTTTATGTGCCTTAACGTAATTAACATGTGAGGGTCGTGCGGCTGTCTCCTTGTGCGTTTATGTGCCTTTGATGAATGTTCCATTTTCCCGAGTGACCTGGACAGTGACCCATATCATTGCATGCATGCGCAGTTGAAATACCCAACTGGCTTATTGGCAACACATTTTTGATGGTTAGTCTTAACTATCCTCTCAAATTGACACCTTGATAACATGAAGACATAAATCATTTCATGTTTTCTCTTAAAATCATAACAAAGGCCATTTCTAAGTTTCTGTATTTTTCATGTGCATCATAGGATCATCAGGGCATTCTTGATTGAGGAACAGAAGATCGTACGGAGAGTTCTCAAAGCACAGCAACAGGCCAAGAAGTGAAACTGCTAAACACAGCTCTAGGAACACTAGCATTATTCTGCTACACACCTGCAAACAACAATCGCATTCGGTAATGATACATGTTTAAAGACGGATTACATACAATAAAGACAATATGAAGTGGAAATAAGATCTTTATGGCTTCCCAAAGTGTTTTTTTTTCATCATGTTATATTGTTTACTAGTACTAATACCAACTCTGAGCTGACTGCGCATAACTGTAATACAGTAATGGAAATGGATTCTGCCCTTGGCGTTAATCTAAACAAACAAGAAAAAGATGCGATTATAAATTATAGTAATTCTGAACTTTTTCAATTATGCACCCATGCCCAGATGTATTATTTGAAGTGGCTTCCAGTTTGTGCATAATGTACTCTTTGGAAATCTGACTGCTACTCTTGAGTATGTCACAGCGCCCTGCGCCCTGAACAGTTCTGTGTAGAGTCCATTCTGTTGCTCCACCCTCCTAAAAAGGTGTTCTTACAATATTGGTAAAAAAAATGAAATGAGGAAGGTTAAAATAAATGTTATATAAAGACCAATAGATGCCAGGATACCCCCCTCCCCCCCCCCCCATTTTTTTAAAAGTAAACAGCCGAGTAAAATGTAAAGTACAGACATAAAAATTAAAATGAAGGAACAATGCCATCTATTGTCTAATGTTATCAAAGTTAAGACACTACAATGTACTTAACTTCCCACCAATTTTAACCGCGCCTTCAGCTTTCGCTCAAGACTGAAATCCAAAAGCATTAATACAATTGGGGATTTCTCAAATTCAAGAAGTATACATTCATTTAGAATTGACCTGAAACAAAACTGAAAGGCAAAATGTATTTAGTAGTACAACCTTTAGGCCTACCGGTTGAAAAAGAAAATCACCCAAAAAAGGTTTCAGTGTTCCATAAATCGTCAGGCTACAAGAGCAATAATTGTTTTCTGGAAAGCTCTGCTTACATACATGTACATGTACCAGCTTAAAAAAAAAGACTGATTCTTGTGCTTAATTTGAAAAAGTGGTAAGCAAAATAACACTGTAAATTCTGTGCATTAAAATGCTGTAGCTAAGACGGCAGACTTTCTCATTTTAGAAAGTTAGTTCTATCTGAATGTACCAAAATAAAATACGTGTGTTTTACATATCAGTTAACATCTTGTTAAAAAAAGCCACTGCAACATTAACAAACTTACGATAGCATACTCATTTAAACCTTGAATCTTACTGTCTTATATAAAATAAAGGTCAGTGATGATACCGCTATAGAACGTTTGCATTCTGAAACCATCGTTTTGGTAATATTTTTTGTTTTAATAGATTAAAAATGAACAAACACGCGCGCCTGAAACATGGCTGCAATCCAAATAATCTATATAATCCAATAATCACATTATTTGATGGCCTAAATATCTTACCCAATCTGCTGCCTACATTTAGCGAAAACGTTACCAGATACAAACCTTTTTGTAGTGTTTAATTGTGAAATTCTGCATAGTTTCTCCCATTACCGAGTTGGTTACATACAATACGGTTATTTTTTATTCCACATCGCTTACACATACATAATGCTGTGTTTAATAGTTTTGGTAAGTCTGATTTTGCGCATGCAAAAGAAAATGCACACATATTTACAACTAATGGGCCTACAGACTTTATTTTTTGTATCCCACTTTTATTTAGTTTCACAATAAGTGAAAGAAATGACGGTTGCATTTTAGTAAGAACAAAGTGGCTTCCTAATTTTCACGTACATGCTATGGAGGCCTATATCCTCTGAAGCTAATCTGTGGTGCACGACTGGCTGACCAGACATCTTCAAGTCATTGTCACACTTATCACACGTTACACAGGGTAACATGGTGCTCGTAAGATTCCCATTCATTGCCTTTGTACAGTCGCTGACATCTGAGGACAGACAAAAAACATACAAATATTTATAAGAAATAAATAATGTTTAATAATAATATATACCAAGATAAAATATAAGACATTAATGAATCGCACCTATGGCGGCAAATGGCGCTCAGCGTCCAACTTTTTCAACGTTGAAGGGGTACTATTGTGCCTACCTGGGACAGATGAAAGGTTCCATTTCGTGCCGTTTTTTGCCCGATTTCTGCTTCCTACCTCCTAGCTCCAGAAGATTGATTTGCAACCTTTGACCTTCTGGTTCGGTATGGATAATGACAGCTGTTGGTTGGGTTAGCTTGCATGTTGTTTTTCCACCCATTTGGACAACAGTCATTTCATTATCCTTGGCCGCCGGCTTCTGCTATGAGACATTGGACAATTTTAAAGAGTCAATGAAATGAAGATCCCCTGGGAACGTATTTTGCGCAACTTTCTACTACTTAAATGTATGAAAACTATTCGACATCCCTTTTTGGCGAATTTGATTGAAAAGTGCACTTCTTATGTGCTCATCTGGACAAAAACTGAGGGCGCTGTTGCTGTGATGTCGTTTCAGAAAGACACTGACGGTCCAGACAGTTCAGGAGTTTTCTTTTCAAATTGCGAACCCAAAAATGTGCTCATTGAAAACGTGAGAAAGTTTGCTGACTTCCTTACTGTCATGTACTGGCACATGCAACGAATCACCAAGGAACTGAAAATTTACGAACGTGTGCAAAAGATCCACAATTCTGGCAACTTTTGGTGCTGAAAATAATAGTAACATTGAGGTTTCTGCCTGAAATGACATCACACTTTTGCTCATAAATATAAAAAGTTTCATTAGCTTAAAAAACCGAAAAGGCACCCAAAAATATCCTTGAAAATGGGGAGAAAATTGGAAATAAAGTTAAATGGGATACAAAGGTGCATTTCCAATGATTGAATAAAAACAATACATTGCATGAGCCCTTTAAATTAAATACCGGCCCTTGTCATCGGCTATAGCAAAGCGTTATCGCTTGAGAGCCAGCAACGCAATTTTCTGAACGTGGGCACATGAAGTAAACAGCCCCTAATAAGTGAACTTAACATTAACCAGACTAGGTGCACACTTTTCAAATCAAAAGCAGACAAAACTAATTGTTTGTATTGCTGGACTAAAGACTTGATATCAGTCGGTTTTGCTCACCTCAGATTTGCGATGTGGTTTGTGTGGCTTGACTCTGTCACTGGGTGGTTTGTACACCTCCTGCTTTGGGCCTTTCACCTTTGAGGATTTGACCACATCGTCAAACTTCGATGCAGGTTTTCTTGGCTTTATGAGGAGAAAAACATACAAAAAAAATGAGCATGCGAAACGACACCAAATAAGTAAAAGACAGATCGAGTTGCAATCTGCGTCTAACCTTACTTTTAGTACTGATAATGTTAGTAGGCCCGCTATAAAGTCATGAATTAATGATGAATTTAATTCTTTACCTGATCCTGATGGCCATAGCCTTGAAGACGACCTTTATCTTTATCGAGTTCTCGTTGTAAGTTGTGCAATTTCTCCATAGCTTGGATCTTCTCGGTGTTCTCCTTGTTGAAGTCGGAGTGGAACATCTTATTCTGCAGACCAATAAAAAAAAAAAAAAAATCCCAGTTTGAATGTTCAAATTTCCGGACAACCCCATCTCAGAACCCGATGTCCCCTTGCCCAGTAACAAAATTATGCGCATAATTATTTAATTCTTCCCCATCTGGATCCAACATCATTAATGTGTAACCAAATAAATAACAGAGGGATACTGCATGAATGTTACAGAGGTCCTGAACAAACCAATCCATACCTGTTGCCGAAGCAACTCAACCTGCTCCTTCAATTCTTCCTTGCTGTAACTTTTGTCAGTGATGCCTCTGTCTTGTTTTTCCATGGCACCTTTTTGTGCTGATGCTGGTACATCTCCGTGCAGGTAAGGTGTGTATGGGGTAGGGGGTCCATGTTTCGATCTTGTTGCTGCTGGCACCTCATCTGCTGGTGCAACGAGGGGCAATGGTGCAAAGGCACCACCTTGGGTAACTGCTGGGGGAGATGGAGTGGGGGATTGTGACGCCTTCTGATTAGCCTCGGCGCGAGGAAATGGAAACCCTTCCTTGCCAGTTTCAGGTGATGTACTCTGCAGAGGGTTGACCGGCTGTTCAACTGGTGGCGAGTGAGACTGTTTGACTTTCTGCTGGAGTTTTCTTTCAAGAGCCTGATTTAAATGTGGAAAATAAGGTTTACTCATTATAAATATCGCTATTGCTATCGTATAATCGTTAACATGATAGTGTGAGATATGTCCTCGCACCGGGGCATCGACAACTGATATTTTGTTGAAATTTTCACTGAGCATGAAATTTTCACTGAGGGCTAATACCTATACAATTGTGTTCTTTAATAATGTGCACATCACAATGAAAACAAATCTATTGCGAAGATAGTCCTGTTTAAACAATGATCATCAATAATTATTCTAACATTGGACAAAATTGACCACTGAAATACATAACAAACGTACCTCCTTAAGACGCATAATTTCCTCAGCCATGTTCTGATTCTGTTTGGCCAAGTTTCGGCTCAGCTGATCCGACTTGTCGTTCCGGTTTCTCTCGACATCAAGCTGGGATTGTAGCTCCTTGTTATGCTCCTTTAACCATTTTTGTGAAAGTTGAAGAAATGAAAAAAAAAGAGGAATACAGTTCACAGTTTTGTTTGGAGAGGCAGCAGATTTCAAGGACAAGAAGAAAAATGGTAAAACCATTCTAAATTTTGTGTGTAAGGATATTACCTCCGTTTTATCGATGCGTGTCTTTGCCGTCAGAAGCATTTGATCATACTGACTTGCTTTCCTCTCCGCGTCAGGACGTGCATTCTCAAGTTCCTTCTGGAGTTCCATGATCTTCTTATCTTTATCTTCCAACTGAGCCATCCAAGTCGATTTTTGCTGCTTGTAAGATTTCCCCCAATCCAGGTTGACCTTCTTAAGCTGCAAAAAGAAATGACAAGTCATCACAAGGTAATACATTCTCCTACGATTTAGGATTGGACTCACTGCCACATCTTCTTAAGTTTTAATCACAAATACAATAACCAATAATGCAAGTGTTCTTATTGCTGTTTATATCTATTCTCTAAAAACTGTACTGTCAAAAACAAATCAAATGTTTTGCATCCCCCAAAAAGTCCACAGATTGTTATGACATTGATCGTTCAAGACTAGTGTGGTGTACCTAAATTTGCTCCAACAACAATAATTTTGAAATCGTGAACTAACCTCCTTGATTTGCATCTGTAGGTCGGATTGCCCATGCAAGGCACGACTCTTTGCCAGAAAAGTGTCTCCACCATCAGTTATTGTTCCTACAGATTTCATCACACCTGATGCAGCGACGTCATGGAGCGTGGTCTTGACAGAAGGGGGATATAGTTCTTCAAACAAATCTTCAACAGCAGCAACGTCTTCAGTTTGTTGCTCAGCCTCTGCCGTTGTCTTTGCTTTGTTATCATCTTCAGACGGTATCGTACTTTCGCTTGTCTGTTTTGCTTCTGGTGTCTTTCCCGTGTCAGCTTTGATTTCGACAGGTTTTTGTTTGTGAAAACTCTCGCATTTCCCCATGTCCTGGTCTGCACCCTGATCACAATGTTTTTCACCTAATAGATGTATTTTCCGTGGTTCTTCAAGATACGCCACTGTGGGAGTGTTTTCTACGTTAGATATGACGTCATTGTTCGGAGGTACCATGATGTACGGCACTGGATATCAAATAAATTGAATCGTAGAAAGAAAAATTATTTGCATTGACCTGTCGCGTAACTATGGTTACATTTCTGGGAGGGGGAGGTGGCGGGGGAGCACCTAGCTTCATGGGGGCACTGAATTAAGGTTCAATTCAGGATTTAAAATGGGGGAGGGGGCATCCGCTGGGGGTACGCCCACCTCCCCCACCCTCCGTAGTTACGCCACTGGCAAGGATCGACTGGACAAAAATTAATAGGCCCATGGGCCTATTTTATGAAAACATATTTTACATATTTACATGTTGTACATCCGGTTATGCAACGCATCATTCCAGTGTGTACGAATTTTTTGATGACCAGAAAATCATTAACAGTGGTAAAATAAATGTGCTGCAGTATAAAATGCATCTTACTTATGTATGAGCTATCTTGAATAGCGCCCTCATTGCCATCAGTACTGATACCATCAGGTTGCATGGTAGCATCACAGCCTTTATCCTCCTTGACTTGTCCACGAAGTAACTTCACTTCTTTCTTTGCTTCTTGTAACGCACGACCTAAGAGGAACAGGATTGAGAGAAACGTAAATGATGGATTACATTTACAGTGTCGACAAAGAAGTAAATTAAAACTTGGATACAAATGCTGTTGATGTAGGCAGGTTCTTTACTAAACCACATTAGTAATCTAGCAAAAAATGCCGGATGCTTAAATCGCCTATATCTATAAATCCACGGCAACAAACTTTTTTTCTTGACATCTATAATGCAATGCATAAAGAAAAGACTTTTATATGTAAGATTTAATTGCCGTACCTACTACTTTGACTCCTCTCACACATCGCTGTAGCCGCTGATTTTCCTCAACCAGAGGCCGTAGCTCTTTCACTTCATTTTCCAATTCTTGTATTCGCTTCAAGTTCCTTTCATCAATGGGCGTGTCTTCTGCAATGCCCAAAGGAGGATTGTTTCTCCCCGAAATGCCAACTTTTGGTTGCTCGTTGTTTGGCTTATTGTCTTCCAACTCATCCAAGGCTTCGTCCATTGCTGTATGTTTAAAACAAGCAGACTCCACCAGTATATAGGCATTACAAATCGTTTGTGTTTTAGGAAATACAAACGATTCTCAGAACGAGTGTAATTTTCACATAATTTGCACAGAAAAATCACTCGTGGATATCCGACAGAAGTTGCAAAAAGGATCCATTTTAGTCATTCTGGCTGACCAATTCTCAGTAACCTGCTTCGATTTGCATTTTAATCGAGATGAGTATAGCCGGGAACAAAGAATTTTACTATAAAGTTAATTCCTAATAGTTTCGCAAATACAACGGGACTACATCGTTGTCCATAAGTTTGTGCCACAGTGTGTTACCTATATACCTTACTTCTCCAGTAATACCTCAAGAGAATAAAGGCTAGATATTACTTCCGAGGTGTGAAGCAGTCCAGTGCCGCATATACAGTGCAGTAGGCCTACATGAAAATAGGTGCATGGATGAAGGATAGCTGCAAGTTGCATGCAGTTCAGTTTGTGAATGATTCCAACGAAATGAATCACCATCACATGTCACGAAGTATGGAAAAGGCACTTACCTTATTTTCGTAAAGCTGTCTCTAAAAAACTGGATAACATGAGCATCAAATATTGTTACTTTTCCCCCTCGATTATAGGTCTTTCGCATCTATCTGATAACGTTGTTGATTACAATGGAAAGGCAAACCAGGCTCGTGATCGTTTTTTTCCCCTTTGTATGTACACGCATACCGTACCGTCACCATTATGGCGCCCTCACCTTCCGCGATTGCACAATGCATGGATGGGGAATCCCCCATTACACATAGTACTTAGTAGTAATGCGGAACTTGGGGGTGCAGACCAGTAAATCGGTCCGAAATTGCCTGCGCCGGCCAAATCACGATTTGCATGCCCTCAAAATCTTCGGTATTTGGGCATGCTTTGGGCCATGAACTTGAGGGTTTGTAAAAAATATGGGTGGAAGCCGTGCACAGGACTGGGAGCTTGCGGTTCTGTGTAATTTTGATGTAATTTGGACCCTAAAAGCGCTCTATTTTGCAATGGAGTGTAGGCATCGTTTTTCAAAATGGCGATGGGCTTCAGGACTATTTTCAGGGGTGATCTTCTTCAGATGGGAATTTCCCCTAACAGTCATCAGTTGACCCCCCGAAAATTGAAAAGAAAATGAAAGATGATGAAATAAGCTTTAATTTGATGTGCGTCTCGAACACCTTGGAGAGTTGTGAGTATTTTTCCCGAATTTTTGAAGTGGGAGCATTTACCATTGGGGTCTATGGAAGTTTATTTACTGGTCTGCTACCTGTAGGGGGTTTGGGGGATATGCGCATGCGCCATTTCCGTTCCATTACAACACAGTGAATAAAAACCACAGAGGAAAGATCTCGAAAATTAAACATAAAATATACCGTTCCCGAGTGAATTACTTAAAATATTCTCCCCAAGTGCCTTTAATGTCTGCATCGATCCGAACGTCGGAGACAGTCGAGATCATTATTTTCATCCTTTACTTCACGCCCTCGAGTGGCCGCGTTTTATAGATAAAAACAATTCCAATAATTCTTTTGCAGCCATTTTGGAGGTGTTTTGTTATATTCTGAAATAAAACAGTAAATTAATAAAAGGTCAACTCGTCTCTATACCCGTCTGGAAAAAGCACATCCAAGCTCCAAGATTACTACCAATTTAGGGTGTATCTGATGGGGTTACGGTGCCGGATGGCGGTATGAGTGGGGTTATGGGTGGGGTTATACTATTGGGGTGGGGTCGGGTGGGAAGGCAAGGGGAGGAGACACCTTATAATGACAACACGCGTCGACGCGAAGTCAATATAAGAAATTCTCAAACATGACTCTTGGCCCGTGCACAACAACATGTTTGTAGGTTACGTGCAATACAAGCTACGTTTAATGGGCAATAACAACAACCATAAAGTGCAATCCAATATTTCGTAAACATCCCGTTAACTTCCGAGTACAATAAAGATAAAAATACAGTGGCAAATATAAGAGTAATGAAGCAATTAATAACATCCGAGAAAATATGCTATGATATACCATTGTCACGAGGTGTGATGACGATCTAGCAACAGTAGGCTTATGATTTCCAATGAGATCACGGTTTTCAGTGGATGATGCTGATAACTGGGGAACACTAACCGTAATGTACTGACATTACGAAACTGTAGTCGTCTTCGATGCGTTCAAGCCATCAAAGTGTACGCCGAGAACACAGTATTCTATTCCAGTCAAAAATCCAGCTCTCTTCCGTGTGGAGCTGGCATCTTGACTATTTTCACATTCCACGAATAACGACCACAGCTGGTCGAGTAGGTTCCCATTATTATCATCTCAATGATCGCAATTACATAAGCTTTAAGTTAATACAATGTACACCAATCCCTCATTGGCCTTTCTGAAATATGGCGGACATAGTGGGAAGGCGCAATTAGGTTTGGGAAAACTTTTTTGTTTGGTGAACAAAAAAGTTTACCCAAACCAAATAGCGCCCTCCTGTTGTGTCCGCCATATCTCAGAAAGGCTGAGGAGGTAAAGCAAAAGAAAATTGACTGAAGCAGGATTCGAACTTACAACCTCCGGAATACAGCACCGGTGCACGAAAAACTGAGTCATTTTAGCTCTAGTTTGGCGGTCTCCAAATTAGTCAAGGTTTATCAGTGGGCGCTCGTGAAGTCGGACACCACATTGCACAAATAGACCCGAGACATAATGATGTCACACTTTGTTTAAAATTTGTATTTTTAAACAAAGCGTGACGTCATTACGTCTCGGGTCGATTCGTGCAATGTGGTTTCCGACTTCACAAGCGCCCCCTAGATCAAGACAACGACAAACCAAGAGACTGCCACTAGAGCTGGAGAACCTAGTCCTTTGTGCACCGGTGCTGTGTTCTGGAGGTCGTAAGTGCGAATCCTACTTCAGTAAATTTTCTAAACTGAACAGAAATAGATCTATATGTCATTTCGTTTTATTCGTCACTTTGTTATCAAGACATTAATCAGAAAATGCTGGGCAGATATATAACCAAGATTCTGGTTTCCATCATTGACTTTTCAAAGTAAGGTCATGTGTTACAGAAAAACTTCTGTGATATAATGAGCTTCGCAAAATTGTATATGGAATGTTAAAACGTAATTTATGTAAATTGTCACCACAATTCAGTGTACGTGTACATAACTTTACTGCTACATATATTAAGAAGTTTTAAACCACCGTCCTGCCTGGAAAAACATCTGTCATCACCGAGTAGTAATTTAATCTTTTTTTTATTTTCTTTAATCAGAAACCGGCTGATACAATCAGAACCCAGCTAATCATTTTGTAGCATTATGCCGTATCAAAACAGTAATCATGTTGCTGAGTATCGTTTTTTCATCTTTAATTTTTTTCCAAACAGAACGATGAAAGTACATATTATATGCAAAGACAAGCACTATCGCGAAATCAGAGCAAATATAATAATGTTGATGTCCTACCTGGTGAAATATTCCATAGATACTTTGCGACATTTCGTTCAAAACACTCAGAAATAATTTCATGTTTTTCTTTTTTTCAGTAACCATTACTCATAATATTCTCAAATTTCGAGAAATTCTGCTATACATTATATTCAAATTAATTTTCTGAAAAAAAATTGAAAGCATGTTTTCATTTTACCAAACAGGACATCTTAAAAATTGACACTAAAGATGGATCATTAAGTAATCCACCTGCGTATGCAATACTACTAGCCAACGTCGAAGCGATATAAGCAAGCAATAATAACAATGCGAACAGCGCTATGTAACACATATAGTCCGATCATATCAACTATGTTAAGAAGAGGAGATTCTTCAAAATCACTTCAAACTGAAATGCACAATTTCAAACCATCTTCCTTATTCTCAAATCTAAAGTTTCTCAAATTTAAAGTCAGGCATGGCAACCACAAAACTAATTCAAACTAAAAGCATCACAAGGTAATTATTATTCATAGTAAGACAAACAAGCACAAACACTGTCCCTACGTTCCCTCAAAAGCAAAAATACAAATGTAGTAAAATGTTCCAAGATTAATTATGAGACCAACTAATAATACTTTCATTTAAATTATGTAGAGATGTTCCGCACAGCAGCAACAACTTGACATAAAATAAATGAAAACAACTCACACTACTTCTTTCCCGAACCCCAAAAGTTGTATTTTATTAAAAATAAAATAAAAAACTAGGTTACCGCCACCCTCATTTTAAAAATTTATGTTGTTATTAAGGTCTTTTTCTCTTCACTGTTGCGGGTTTTGGTGAGGAATTTCAATTAACTTTGTTGATAATAATCCGCAAAGCAGCAACAACCCTTATTAATATAACTTGACAAATTTTGACATATCCGGGCGAGTTTGCCTTCAATTACTAGAATAATGCAGAAATAACAATTGCACACTACTGGAATATATTATACTCAAGTAGTGTGCAATTGTTATTCTGCATTATTCTAGTAATTGAAGGCAAACTCGCCCGGATATGTCAAAATTTGTCAAGTTATATTAATAAGGGACAACATTTTGCTTTGTAGTAGTTGCTTTGCAGTTAAAAATTATCACATTGGACATCCATTGAAGGCATTCATTACATTGAATAGACAGAGCAAGCATTGCTTATACATGAAATTATGTAACATCTACATGTAGATTACCACCTCAAAGCAAACATACTGTGATGAGCATATCTTCATCACAGTGTCTCCACTATTGATTATTTAATAAGGTACCTTCTCCACGTCATCATCCAAGTTCAGAAAAGTACCTATCCAAAGCTGCAGAGTATACCTAAAAAGTTTTATGGATGAATCTCAAAGTTTTGAGAGGGATATATTTCTTGATTGGATATTATCTTCCCTGTTGGCTTCCAAAGTTTGCAGAGGGTTGTGCGTGAGTCATTCATCAATCATTCAATTCTCAACTTACATCAAGTCCTTCACATCTCAGAGAGTGGTTCTTCTGAGATCTGAATGACATGATGTGAGTTTTCAGAATGTCTTGAGTAATGACTCAGGGTCTGTTACTGTGAAAGATGCTTACTCTGTCTGTCTCTCAATCCTCAGTTATCCAGGCAGGCATTGATGTGGACATGGTAGTCGGGATCATTCTCAAATGTCCTCTCACATCTGGGGAGGAAATATTAATAAATGGTATAAGTCCAGATCATAAAACACGTTTTGCATACTTTAAGTACAAATATTGAAAAATATATGGAAATCTGTAACAACCACACAAAATCATGAAAAGAGTATACACTATGCCACGAACTTATGACCAAACACTGACTTGAACTAACTTATGACCTTTCAATGGACTCAACTGATATTTATATATGACCTTGACCTGAACTGACCAAAGAGCAGGCCATGTCCTTAACTGACCTATGAATTAAGTAGATGTATGACATTAACTGACCAATGGCTGTGCCAGGACCTGAACTGAACAATGACCTGACCTTTGACCTGATGATCTTACCTTGGGCAGATCCTGATGTTTTGTTCATCATTGTGAGCAGGAGTAGTGTCAGTGAATGCTTGATTGAACTCCACACTGACTCTCTCATCTCCATCAATCTCCACATCGTCATTGCCATCAATGAACATGTCATTGCCAGCTAGGTTGTAGGTCTGCCTGCCTTTGCCATGCGCAATCAGACGGCCAGTCTGTTGAAACAAAGAACAGATATGAAAACATCAAATAAAGACTCTGAGACAGTATTAAAGGATGGAATTATTCTAACATCACATCAGTCTAATTCGGAAGTAAATTGAAGTTGTCATACTGATCATGACTGGCTTCTTATAAAACAGCAAGAATTGCTTACAAGTGTGTTATGATCATGACTGAACATACCTCTCGTGAATAAGCTGGTTGGGTGTATCTTGCTGGGGGACGTGGATAGACGACATAACCATAGTCACGGGGCGGAGCCTAAACATTTAATGTCAGATTTAAGCAAATTTATATCATAAAGAAATCAAAGTGTTGAAATACTTCTTTAATGTTATGTTATCTTTCTACATTTTTGTTACTCTCAAATATGTTTGGTGTGCTTGGTGGCTATGCTTAATAATTTAAATGCTCTACATATGGCTCATTAAAGAAGTTTTAGGAATGACTTATATCAAATCCTGCCAAATCAAATCTCCTATCTCAGTAAAATAGATTAATGCAGACGGGAGTAACTCTTTAAAACTACAAATGTATTGAGATGAAACGGAGAACATACAGAGGTTGAGTATTGGCGATCACGTCGCAGGTCTCGCTGAAGCTGATGGGCCAATTCAGGATCCTGATACACGACCTTCAAACAACACAAAACAATATCTTAGTTAACAAATTCAAAGAGTAGATTGTTTGTACAGTTCTTAAATATTTTTTTAAAAGGAGCCAGTACTGCCATTGTATGATCAAATTTGTCCATTTACCTCTCGTTCACGTTGTTTGATCACTTTCTTGGTCCGACGAAGTTCTTTTTGTACGGCATCTAGTTCTCCCATGACACGCTGACGATCCCGACGTTCGTGAGTAAAGTCCGACTGGAAAACCTCTGTCTGTAAATCAAAGGAATAAAACATACACCATCATAAACTCCTCAGGTATAGAACACATGGGGACAATAAACAGCGGTTGGATTTTGTTAGATTCCAAATGTAACTCGGGTATACCAAACGATTGGCAAGTTGCCAGAACTACTGTTGAGTTTCAGGCATATCAAAATGAAAAAGCGGAATTTGCTCTTTCTAAAGCATGCTGATAGAATCAGGGGAGAAAAATTTCCTGAAGCATCATTTCATGGGGCAGGTCCCATATTCATTTGATCTGACATTTTTATGCCATGGCAACCATTACGCTAATTATCTGATGTGTTGCTATGGCAACCATTATACTAATCTGACCTGTTGTCTGAGGAGTTCTATCTCTTCTCTCATCTCAGCTTCCGTCATCTCATGAACTCCCTTCTGACTTCCAATCAGACTAGACTGGTTACGCTGTCCTTCCATGCTGCTTGGTGGTGAGGGGACACGCTGATGTTCACCTGGTAGCTCAGACTGGTTCCGTGCTGCTGATGATGACTGTGCAGCATTGGTTCTCATTTTCTGAGCCAGTGCCTAAACCACGAGAAATATCACAATACATCTAGTAACTACAAAAAGAATGGTTATCAACACAGGCATTTCTATTATATACACGCAAATAGGATATTCATTTAATTATGATATTAAGCCAACTCTCAGGAAAATTGAAGCCCTGATAGAGTTTCTTCAGTTACCTCATTCAAGCGTTTGATTTCTTTTTCCATCTCATTCCGCTGACCAGTCAGTGTGCGGGCGTAGCGTTCCAGTTTCTCACATTTCTGATTGACAGCAACAACTTCGGCTAGAGCTCCAGCACGCTCCTTCTGCAAAAGTGCAAATGTAAAATGTTGGATTAAAAATGACAGATTCCATATTTCCCCTGATCAACCAGCTTATAAATATCCTTGATCCATTCTGTGTCCCTGATCATCCCTCTGTACAGAACTACCCCTAGCTTTCTAAATCCATGCCTTTGGCTAATTACTTGTCATCAGTGTGTTAGTCTAACTACTCAATTCTCCTAATTTCTGTTTGTCTCCTATACACTTACCTCAGCTTTCTCGATCCTAGCCTGTTCTCGCACCAGCATGTCACCGCCTACTTTCTGCTCTTTCTGTAGCATCACGGCCTGGTGCTTTGCTGTATCCAGTTCTTCTTGGAGATTGTCGATGCGAGATTCCAGCTGAGATTTCATGGTTCTGTAGTGTTCATCCCAGGAATGGTTCACTTTCACAATCTGCATGATAAGGAATTGCACAAACCAACCGCATGCATAAATGTTACAATGTATATGTTTGGTAAAAATCTTTCTTCATTGCCAAAAATATCAAAAACATCATGCATCAATTTGAAGCATACATGGAAATGATAATACCACTCAAAGATTATTTATTTGGTTTGTTCCATAAATAGCAATCTTGCTCATAATTTGTTGTAGCAAAGATCCTCACACAATGGTCCCAACGTCCTCAGTGTTTCATTGTAATATTCAAATAAGTTAAAAAAATTAATGCTTCCAACAAGATGGGATCATATATGAGCATTTTGTGGAGCAGATACCTCTTCGATCTGTTTCTTGAGAGCAATGTACTTGCGCTGCAGCATGAAATGAACTTCTTCACTGATTCCTGTTGGCACTTCCACAGTCTGTTGTTTCTCAGCTTCCTAAAATAGAATTGAACCACAGTGATATAAGTACAGGCAAGAAGACAATTATTGCTAATATAATACAGTGACAAGTCCACAAAAAATAGAGCCTTGTTCGTCTTTGATCTTGCATTTAGCAGCTTGACACAATTCCCAAAAGTGGCTTAGAGAAGTTATGTTTAAGCATCATGAACAATCATGTTATAATTAAGGTCATCATGACATTTTAATTACCTTTCTTTCAGCATCTTTGATCTCGCTTGCCTCTTTCTTGGTTACATAGTCAAATCCTCCCAGCTGTTCATCTTCCTTGGCTCGCTTCAGCTCTGCAACTTCCTCTTGTAACTTCTTGTTCTCCTCTCTGACCACAAAATAAGAACACAACATCCCAAGTCTCGTTAACAGTCAGTGCAGTTGTTATTTTTTTTCAAGCGTTGGACTAAGTTTTCAGTGTCTACATGATTATGTCCAGCAACGTTATTATACTGTGTGTGCTTACATGATGTAACCCAAGTGTAGCATGACTTTCCTCACCCCATGTGCTGGGATTTGATTTACTGTGTGACTATTTCCTTGAGCGATGCTATGTACTTACTTGATGTTGTCAAACTTTCCTTTCATCTGCTCTGCTTCAGTCTTCAATTTCTGGTTCTCCTCTTCAAAGATTCCACGCAAAGTCTAAGAGATTAAATTACCAAGATTTAATTACATAAAATTGGCTTTTGCTTCTTTTTTGTAATGCTTTAATTGGTATTTAAAATATTGGTTCTTTTACACAAATTTTCAATAAGAAGCTTAAAGCACTGACAAAACACTATCTAACAACCAGCACAAATGGAAAGACAAATAAAGATAAGAAAAAGCCTAAATGATCTGCCTTGCACGTTATCGTGTGACTACTGCATTTATCTGCTCCTTTACTTTGCTCTAAGTGTGATGAGGAATCTTGAGACGTTGAATGATTGCATTCACCTTCTCTCTCAAGCAATGATGTTAGAGCCTCGGTATATATCAATGCATTACTATGTTACCCTCGTCATTTCTCACCGGGAGCTTCCCCCGATGAGAAATAAGGGGAATCCCCAAGTCTGGTGAGCAACCCATCAAACTCGATGAGTACCGTGCAGTAACCACGTACACAAGATCAAATATAGGCCCTATGCAATTCCAATAGGCCAATTTCGCTGCATTTTGAGAATATATCACATTTCTTTTTTTTTTACAAATATATAAGCATTCTCTTTTAACAGAAAAGGACACAAGAAACTGAGGCAAGGCAAGAGATCTTAAGTGAGACAAATACACAGAGAAAAGTTTACAGAAAACACAAAACAATATCAATTATTACAAGTAAACTACATTATCCAAAATCTTTGATAATTAATAACTTGACACAAAAAGAAAATTATACGTACTGTCTGAGTTTTGAACTTGCGCTCCAAACGGATGATCTTAGGCACGAGTTCAGACAAGTGAGTTGTTATCTCTGTAGCCACGTTGCCTTCAGATATGTCTTTCAGCGCTAGCTCAACGTTCTGAATCTGCATGGATATCTCAGGACGATCAGGGTTGACCTAACAAAATGACAAACATTGCAAGACGTTAAGAAATGAAAATGTCAATAAATGAAAATGCACACACAGATTTTACCTCTGCTCAATAGGAAAGAAATTGAAATCCAGACAAAAATCATCAAAATTATCATTTTTATTATGAATATTACAATGACTCACAGTGACTCATAACTCCATTGTTACTATTTCCTTTGTTTTCATTTTGTTGTAAACAAAGTTGTAGTACTGGACATTCTGAGTCAATCTTTCTGTTTTACAGATACAGATTGGATCTGTTGTTGTTAACAAAGTTGTAGTACTGGACATTCTGAGTCAATCTTTTTGTTCAAATCCAACGATTTCACTTTTCAAAAAAAAAAAAAGGATGTCTGAATTTATGTGGGTACTCTAACCTACTCAACTGGAAAGTCATCACTGAAAATAAAAGTGACATGCTTACATCGTGTTGAAGTGAGGTGTTTGTATCTTGATGTTGGCTCATCAGATGCCCTGACAGAACATGTTCAAAATCTTCTGACAGGGCACCGATGGAGGATGATGATGCTGATGATACAGCCATTGGTCCATGGTCTTCAGGGGTTAGGTTGTGGGTTCCTTGATCATTGGGATCACATTCTGGAAATAATATAATAATATAATAATAATAATAATAATAATAATAAAGTTTTGCATTCCTGTTCCTTTGTATTTCAAGCATGCAGATCTTTTGTCAATGGAATCAAAGTCCTCTTTAATTAGTTGTGGTTCTCATTTTACAGTTAATATCACTCTTTCTGACAATGGACTTGTGAATTACACATACATCAGAAACATTAAGTGTTGCACCCCATAAGCCCGTTCTTTTTTAATTAACAACTGCCATCATCAACAGGCAAATAATGCACATCTTGGATAAATCTTTGACCGTCTCCTTCTTGACCTACCTGTACCTGATGCTTCTGGAGGTCCTTTGAATGAGGACGTGATGTTGACGTCCCCAAACTCATCGTGTCTTTGTGTTTCCATGGAGATGAGATTCTTAGACGTTCATAATGATTGGATTTATGCTGCGGCTTTTGCTGCCTAGTTAAGTGTATAAAGAAGACTTTAATTTGTTAAAAAAGTGATTCCAAAACAGTCAAATGTATATTGCTTATTATTTCATATTTCTCAAGTGATGATAGAAAAACGTAACTATTTCACAAGTGAAGAAAGAACTAACATCATAGGATTAACATAATGGAATGAAATCATCATAACATCATGCCTATTTTTGGACATGACAGTCATGACCAAATATTTAAAAGGATGTGGTAGTGGTAAAGTCCTAGTTTCTCACACTAGGCAACGCAATCGGTTTACCTCACAGTTTAAAGAATATGAGAATTCTCAGAAAAAGTAATCCAAGTAACAGGAACTAGGAGGGGGGGGGGGGGGGGCTGCCTACTAGTACTACCCCAAAGTACACGTACGTTTCACAAAGAAAAACAGTATCGTATTCAACGTACATCCGGCTTGCGAGTTCCAGGAACATTGCCGGGGTGCATACATTACATAAAATTATGTAGCTGGTAATCGGTATGGTCATTTTTATGTTGCTTTATTAATTACATAGACTACATCATCACAGAGATGCCGCATTGTATCTGAGTTGTCGAAATGGAATGAATGTAGTATCCTGACCCGCCGCCACTTCGTTAGTTGTGCACAAAGTCTATAATATCTATGGAGAATTTAGTGCATTTTCCAAGTATTTTCTAAACAAATTGGAAATGTTTCTCAGTCCCAAATTCATGTCTTTTTTAACAATTTTGCAATGACTGATCTTCTTTGAGATAATGATGAAAGCACAGGGTGCAACATTCTTTCCGTCGAAATGACCCAAATTGGGCAATGCATGCCATCGGTGACTCAGACTTCGGCCACGTGGCCACGCATCATGCAGATTACGCATGTCATACTTCAGTACGAAGTTCGGTTCGTATTACTATTAACACTTAAAGTGTTACTGTTAGTGTTACGTCATCTAAACCATGGAGGTCAACTTAAACATGCTTTATTACATGTTATGGAACCGGAATTTATCCAATGGACGCTTGTGCGCGCGCGAGCATGACGAAGTGAGTGACTATTTTTCAATTTCTCCAGGAAAAACAGAAATATACACTCAAAACAAGGGCACATAATAATACTTATATTAACAGTACTTACTTTGTTCTCCTCAGATATCTGTCAAATAGTCACAGTAGTTGAATACGAAGCGTTAATACTGCTAAAACTAACGCTAGCAGCAGGCCTGGGTTGAACAATATAGGGAAATGTATTACGTTGAACGTTGCGAAATGAAGGGATTTCCCCTTTTAATCTCGGCAGCGTCAGTATCACACTGTGAGGAAGGTACACTTATCATAATTTATGCTTACGTCACCATTTCGCCACGGAGGTCATTTAGCATCACTGGAAACATGAATTATGCAGTACGTATGCACATGGATGTCCCGGATGATGGTAGTAGATGCATACCTTGTTGCGAACACGTGCATCGCATGCACGGCGCTATAATAGCGCCGCGTCGTGGACTGAGATCAAGCTTTATGTATGGCTCCTGAAAACTGTGCAGAAGCCTTGAAGGCTTGAGTATAAAACAGTTCTCGTTTCATTTATTTAAATTAAACAGCAGTGCAGGGTGAGTTAAAAAAAAAAAAGCTGAACCCAAACCTCCAAAACTATTTTTCATATTAAAAAAAAAAAGTAGCACCAAAATAAGTATAATGACTGGAAAACCTATTTCAGAAACTACTTTTAGATAAAAAAAAAAGAAATTACTGAAATTGTTCAATCCGTTCAAATAATATCACCATTAAAACGCAATGACCCTAGAAACCTGTTTCTTCAAAAAAAAAAAGCAATTTATTGTGCATCATTCTGACTGCTTGGAACAACGAAGAAATTCGGACACAGAATACTTGTTTCAACAACTGTCAACAACAAGCTCTAGTCATAAGCAATTCGCAAACAATATATGATTTATAAAATCCAGGTTTTTTTTTTAAAGATGGGCCTTCAAAAGAACTTTGTTGAATATTTTTAACTTTTAAACTGAGGTTCAAGTTATTTCTCAGTGGTGATGTTTGACGAAGTTGCAATCAGGTTAGTTGTTATTAAGCACCGGCCAGCCAAGTTAAGATTTTTAGCACTTTTGTTGCAAACGAAAAAGTTGATGAACATCACTGATATTGCTGTTTTTAAACTACTTTACGGGTACGTACAATTCCTTGTAAGTTTGCATGGACATGGATATAAAAACTGAAAGTTTCGTAAAAAAGGAACGGGAATAATATTGTATCAAGATCCTCTATCTACAGAAATGAATAAACTAGAAAAAAATGCATTGTCGATGTCGTTTTTGTTTTTATGCCGTTCAAATGTAATGTAATTTGATCAGGGCCGGTTACTGTGCTTCAGTTGCCCGCCGCGTTGTCCTTTTTTGAGAATCCTGAGGCAATCTCGTCAGTGTTTTAATAAACAGATCTATTTAACCATAAATTGATACAACAACGAATTTGCTTTCTGAATGCAATGATTTATTTCTTCCTTTCTTTTCATCTTTGCCCGTAGCTGTACTAATAATGTTTGACTCGCCAAACGGGCTAGTTCGATCATGGGGTAATAAACCGCCCGCTATCTTGACGGTCAGCTTTGCTAGGCTATCGTTTGCATGAGTGCTTTCATCTGGCGCATGCCTCGGCCGTTGGCACGGATCTGCATAATTCATGTTCTAGCAACGTCATACGACCTGCTAATCAACTTGGTGACGTAGGCATGAATTATGATAAGTGTACCTTCCTCACAGTGTGATACTGACGCTGCCTTTTTTGGAATCTCGCGCTCGACAGATGGGGGCGCTATTCTTTCATTTGCTATCCGGTTCGTTAGTAAAAACGTCATACACGCGCGCACACCACTGATTACTAGTGCCCATTGGCTGCAAACGCTCGAGCTGCGTTAACTTCCGGTTCCAATCGTGCAGAAAGTGCTGGAGGTGACGTCACACTAACGAACCGGATTGAGCGCCTTTTGTCTGGGCTGAGCGCCGATACAACCGTGAATTGGCAGGACAACTCCCTTTTAAAGACAGAGGCATTTTTATTAAGTCTTTGGTATGTGTATTTTTTTTGTAACGATTCAATGATATGTTTGGAAACATTAATAGTTCTAACTATTTTTGCATTGTTGGCCTTCCATAGTTTGCCAACCAACTCGTACCAATCCCTCGATGGGGGCGCTGTTCAAAACCGACGATTAGCACACTATGGACAATGGCGCTTTTCAGGGCAAAACATCCGCGAAATAAAAAAAAAGTCACCCGTAACGGTCGCTGGCACAAAAAAAGGGCAAACTACTTTTTTTTTTAAACGGGCACTTGTTCACAAAAGGGGCACTTTTTAGCAAAATAAGGGCACTCGTTACAAATATTGGGGGTAAGCGATGGTGAAAAAAGGGCATTTGAATGGAAAGGGCAGTCTTTAAAAATATTGGGGGAGGGGGTAAATATACCCCCCTTATCCCCCCCCCCCCCCCGCTAGATACGTCTATGGGGTAGGATGTGGGAGGAGAGCGGGGTATACGACGGATCGAATGCACTCAAAGAAAAGACCGTTAAGTGCTGAAAGTAGTCGTGCACGTGGCAGATGCTTTTGTGACTGATCATGATTCTTACAATTTTTAATGTAAATATATAGCAACAACAATACTACACTTGAACACTACATCAGAAAAACTTCGGCAAATTTATTTTGAACACATGATTAGGCAAAACTCAGGCATAATGATTTCTCAAACTACTACGTTTGAAAAGTAGTCCATGAACAGCGAAAAATAAAATAATTACAAATAAAAATAAAAGCAAAACAATTCTAACCCAATGGCTTAGCCACACTGTGTAACAAAAAAAATGTACTGTTTGTGCTTTCCAAAAAAATTGATTTGTTTTCTCGCGAATAATGTTTGTGCGCTTTATTAATTAAAAACAAAAATCAAATTCGGGGGATCTTAAACCCACTGAAAGGCCTTTCACGTCACGGGAAAGAGTCGGTGTGTTTTTGCGCGCAAACAGATTCGGAGTGCGAGTTGACCATGAGGTGGAATTCGATTGATCGAACTTGTCAGGCCTCAAAAAGTTATAAAAAATTAAAAAAAATTGTATCGCTTAAGAAATAGCAATTTTGTCAAGGTGGAAGTTACAGAAAATAGCACAAACACCGAGAGAGTTAATTTATAAGCTTAATGTCTGAAATAATGACCGTCTCTAACAACGCCCTCTATATTGAGCACAACAACCATGGCATAATGTTGATAACATGCCAGTTAAAACCTGTTACACGTACATGCATTTCTTCGTTATGACATGAACAATAATGGTTCAATAACAAATGGCTTATTCAAGTCATTATTTTACATGACTGTATTTCAATGTGTTTCCAAGTGGAAAACATTAGCTTATATACAGATTTGCCGACAGATTGTGGATTTGTATGTACAACGATTAACTATAAGCTTGCGAAATAAAACAAAATCTGTTTCATTAGACGTCGTGAAATTATTGCAAGATTTCACTTTTTAGAGCTCCCTCCCTGCCTCTCCCGTCTCCACCAAATACACGTTGTGCAAATTTTAATATTAATTAGTATTTAACCCTAAGGGCAATCCGCCCCCCCCTCAACTTTTTCCACGATACCCTTGAAAAAATGTTTTCGCGACCCGAGCTGTTCTGACTTTTTTCCCTCGAGTCTTTGCATACTTTGATACCCAAAACATAAAATTCGGACCATGGGTTACTGTGCAGCGAACAAATTTTCCCGCTCTACGCGCCGTGAACATAATTTTCCCATACACGTTGTGTACACAAAGCAGAATTACCATTCGTGTGTATGAATAATTAATAAGCCATAATTCAATAACCCTTTGACCTATAGTCACGACATTTCTTGGGTATGTTCATGTTGAGTTTTTAAATAATTTTTCGTCACTCGATGGTCGAGATCTTGGGGGGGGGGGGAAGCAGCTGTGAGATGGTCGAAATCACATGGCCATTTTAGGGTTAAAAATAGCAACAAGTTACTCTATGTTGGTGTAAGAACAATGAAAGAGCACCCTTTCCGGTGCACGGTCATAGAACAGCATCTTAGCCATTAACCCTTTCTTCTTATGATATCATGGCACCAGAAAATCCCCGAATCCAAATTTAGATCGAGTTTTTGTGTAGAAACTTTAAACACAATAGTTGTGCATGGCAGTGATATTAACAAAAAATAATACATGAAACACAATTGCTCCAGTTCTCTAATTCGTTAAATTGTGTTCGGGGTTACAATTTAGGAACGATAGCTCCTGGTGGAAGAGTGTCTTAAAACCCTAATCTTTTCAGCACGTATATGGAGTGTTCCTCAACAAAAACACAAAGAAGTGCGCAACTAACGTAGGATTTTGAGAGTCATCACTAGCTGAACGAACGATCTTATAATAAGTGTTGTGATTTAATTAGGCTATCGAACGTTTATCCCCAATCAATGCAGCCTTCAGCGGCAACCGCAAGATTCCACCACCATATTCTTGTAGCTCTTCAAACCCACGTTATCATTTTCGTCCAGGAATAAGATGGAGAGTGAAGTGAGTTTCTCAGGAACACAGCAAGGAGGAGGTATCTTGGCCTGTATACCAGCTACGCTCATGACGCTCTGTATGGTTGCATGGTTGGAAGGATTGTCCGTCTGGGGAATTCAAAAACAAACGCGTACGAGTTTTTAACATTGTTTAATACACTTTGTTTTCCCTTCATATTCTTGTATTATGTCATAACTTTTTTTGCAGAATTTGACCATAATTATATTCACATAGTTACGGAAATTGTTGTTTGTCTTATATGTACGAACGATGAAAAAAATAACTTAGAAATTTGCAGTTTTCTTTCAATTATCTTGAGAATAGAGCATGTGCTTACAACATTATGATATTCATGTTTACTATTAAGAATTGATTCTTTTGCGATTTTGCCGGAGTGCAATATTTATTACATTCACCTTTGAGAGAGGGAAGCTACAGGCCCCTGTGCAGTAGAAAGCTTCAAAACCTGTCGGTGCAATGACATAGCCATCCCAATCGATTGTATCAAAACTGACGAACATGGCATGACGTGAGCACGGCCCATCATTCGGACTCATTGGTAACACGGTATTCTGATCTCTGTCATCGTTCATGGCTGCTTGTTCCTCAGACTCGTCTTCAACCACTGAGCTTGAAGGATCTAACAGTGGAGCTTTTCGGTGCTGCTTCTTGGAGACTCGTTTACGTTTCTTACTCGTGCGTTTCTTGGCCTTACGACGTTTCGAGTCTTGTTCATTGAAGTGCTGGAAGGTTGCCTGATGTGCGACATTGGTGCTTCCTTCAGGAAACTCATTGGTCATGATGGAATGAACATTGCCATCGACACTACGGGCATGTCGAGTGTGACTTCGCACCTGTGTAGGACTTCGCACCTGTGTAGGACTTCGCACCTGTGTAGGACTTCGCGCCTCCATAGGATGGGTCGTCTCGGATGGGGCGGTTTTAGTTTTAGCGCCCTCTTGTGTCCACTGCAACACTGAATTCCCACTACTATCATCATCCTCAGCATACACCAGTAAGAATGGCCGGGCGTGATTGGACATGATTTTCTCATTGGTGGTACGCTCACGTGATGTATCATGCGACCCTCCAGTTTCTTGAAGTCGAAACGAAACACCCACAGTTATCTGTGAATTTTCACTCTCCAAGATTGGCTTCAAGAGATGAGCTATCTGAGCTGTGACGTCAATGACTTGCCATCCACGCGCTTTTGCTGGTCGTTGCTGCACTCCAATTGGCTGGCATGCCGATGAAGTATTGGTAATGAGATGTAAATGAATGTCAATGGTCGATTCCGAGTCAATCAGGTTGCTGGGTTTGGAAGCAAAGAAGTGAAGTTCCACGGAGCGAAGGCTCTCAGTCTTGTGTGATTTTATGCTGAACACGTAGGTTGGTTCATTGCAAGCAAACCCTGCAATACACACAGGAAGAAATAATAAACTGGTCAGAACTTGAGTAAAACGGGATGAATCAGTCAAGACAAAACACGTTTTCAGTACAAAAGGCGATTATCGTTTTTCAAAAGCAGTAGTTGCTTTGATTGTCCTTCGAAAGTTTAAGGTCCAAAAGGTGATGCTGCAGTGGCACCGGCGTGCCGAGTATCGACTCCACTGCGCAATACCGAATTAACGTCGGTTTACTCTTTTTAAAGGTTTAAAATATTGTTTAATAAAAATAAAACATTGCATCCTCTGCTAAGTTAGTTCGGGGTGTTATGACAAGAAACCGGATTACCCTATCATGCATAATATAGTACGCAGACCTATATCCCATGCAGAGATCTGTAAAATGATAATTCCAACGGCCTATGTTCTAATCCTTAGACTTTGTATGATTCTGAACTTAGTATAAATGGGATAGTTTATCCGAGGATCGGTCCCACATCACAGGAAATAATTGAGTTAGATATCATATGAACCATTAGTACTGTCAGCTAATTCAATTGAACGCCCCCAGTAAGGATTCAAATTACCACAAGAATCTAGTTAAAGGCAACGGTAGACTCCAAATGGCCGCTAATTCTGTTTACGCCTGTTCGCGTGCTAGTTATTAGGTCGGTGAAAGTCACGGGCTAAGAGCATCTTGAAACACTGAAACGTATAGCAGTCACAGTTTAGCTGTGATGTTCGGGCCATTTCAAACTAATGGAATCATTCATTGTGTTAATGATGGTGCTTTCAGGTTCAAATGAAGTATTGTCTGCGGGAAAAGTATATATAAACGGTAGTCCATAAACAATGTGCATGCGAAATATACAAAACAAGCGCATCGTTACAAATTCATGATGTTACTAATTATGTCGTCTTTTAAATCACCCTACGTGTACAAAAATTGACCACGCCCACAAGTTTCTGTCACAAACCGACCGTCCTTCAACTCGAAGTTGGACAGTTTATTTTTCTTGACACCTAAACGACCAGCCCGTTCAATTCAAGCTGGCGTTTTTGTGAAAGCTGAAAGTGGAATGATAAACAAAACATAGCGCAGGGCATGACCTCTACGTCTCATATTAGTCGTCTGTCAGAATGGAGACAAGTTATCAAGGATGTTATCAAGAAATTGCATTCCGGCGCCTGCAAGCGATGCATATGAAGGCCACGCGTGAATTGTAATAATTCTGTTTTAGAATGCATCTTTCTGTGCTTTCAGCAGCAATACTTTCATAAATTAATGTTTGATGTTAAGAACCGAGTTATTATGGACACACCTGCATAAATAATGTGAATTAAGAGCTGAATGTTAACAAGAAGAAAAGGAAAGTGTTTTTGTTGAAATCGGTGGATCGTTTATTTGAATTCATTACTTCTTTCCTGTAACCAAGAGGCGATACATCTTAACCCCACTCAACCGTCAAGTTTTGAAATGCTGACAGGACTGTCTATGCATCATAATAAGTGTAAAGACGTGTAGAAAGAACTCCAAGCAGCTGAAAGGGAAGATGACGCAAGCAGCAGAAATGAAAGACGCAAGCAGCTGAAAATAAGAATATATTTTGCGCGTGTCCTTTTTTTCTTCTTTTTTTTAAAAAGAAGAATGAGTTATGAGTCACGACGGTGCGAGGCGACAGCTGAGTTTTTCGTCTTGGCGGCAGATTTGATGAAAAACAAACAACCTGCGTTAAGGAGGTGATTACACATGTCGAAAATACATGGGTGTTTAAAGTCAAAACCAATTAAAAGTCACGGTGATCAGATGCCAGTCATAGAGAAAGTGCCGTGTTCATGGGAAACTCTGAAATAAATGGAAACCCTTTTATATTGAAGACAATGAACGAATGCTATTAACAAGAACTGGTTTTGTATAACACACGTCCATCACTGCTGCGATGCACTTTTGATCAATGCGCGGTCACAATGTATTGTTTGCCATCTTAGTGTGGCGTGACAGTTAGAATGGTTGACATATAACTGATGTGCATGGTTGCTATTGACTGACCCTACCATGGTGGTCTACTTTGTGACTCCCGCGGCCCCCCAGGTACTTCATGCATCAAGCACCGACTCAGAGCACTGAGAACCTTCAAAATTTGAACTTCCGTTTGCTGAAGAGTAATTTTCCACGTACGACACTGCATGCGCATCAGAACAGTGTGATTTGAAGTGTAACCCACTTCTTACAGGGATGACAAGTGAATTCGTGAACAAGACATTTGGAAGAAAGTACACACCAGAGTTCTTTACAAAAACCGTTTAGGAGTTATACAAAATCTTGCATTCAATATGAGGCAGTTCAAATATTAGTTAGAATGCCAAATAGCTGTGTCAGAACAAAATTGAGCGACGTAGTCTTTTATCATAGCAGCCACTAATAATTCGCCTGAATTAAAACTTCTGGCATAACTTTGAAGACAGCCTGTTGATATTTTTTATGTAAGAACAACGAATACCGAAATCAAATGTAAGTTTAAATGATATCACCCCCCCCTCATTTTACGAACCTAAGCAAGCTGAAGCATCAGATGACAAGCCACATGGGTATTAAATTGAGGTCATCATTGTGACGAGTAGCTTTAAATTAAATTTAAAAGAAATTGGAAACCGGGAGTTAAAGATTCCCTTCGAGACAGTGATATGTCCTTTCCTGAATCATCGCAGGGATGTTAAAGGGATTATTCCCTGTCAAAATGTGACAGTTGTCTTGAAAAACCAAGCTGCCATAAGAAAATTGATTACTGTTGATAATAGTGGTGACAGCGTGTATGGGGTAACGTTGTTGAATGCCAACTATGGCTCCATCCCGTGCCATCTGTCTACATCTTTGTATCGTATGTCAACCATTTTGACTATAAGTCTGAGTGGGGGAACAACTGCTTAAATCAAACTCATAACAAACATCCATCGCAAAATCGTTATCGTTATAAAAATGACCTTTGACCTGAAGATAAAATGTAAGTGAAGGGGTCAGAATAAACATTCCCATAAATAATATTAAAACGGATAAACAAACTTGAGTCATTTCGTACGTGAAGGTATTGTCAAAGGGAGATTTTAAGTCGGTCCAAAAGAATTATTCGGCGACCCTTCTAAGTGTCAAAGTTATAAAAAAAAAATCTTGAAAAATATAAACAAAAAATTAGACCAAAACAAAACAAACTGAGCAAACAAAATCGCCTACTAACAGTCAGAGTAGTTTATTGAAATATAATCACTGTGTCAATATCGACATTTTATTACTTGCTTTGAGTACAAGTAAGTCTGTGTTTCAGCCTCTTATAAACGCCCTTTCGTGGATAATTATAAACAGAGAGCCCAGAAAAAAAAGCCAATTTGTATGTTTCTATCCCTTGGATCGTGATTGAGTGCATCGTGCATGATTGAGTTGCTGTGAACGACCTTGAGTCATTCCATACAATTTATTTACCACATTACATTACTACATCTAAATAATATCCAGCACTGATAAACGAAATCAGTCATGGAGCCGGATCCATTTTCCTTTAATTTCTCCTGTCATTATTGATTTAGTAAGTGTATGAGTGTATCTCACGATTCCTACGGGCGGGTCGCATTTACTGTGTGAAGCAAAATTGCTTTTGACATCTTAATAGCACTGGACGTTGCATGTGTTTGTTTTTCAGAATTGAGATATCTTTATTCCGAGTGTTTGAGTAAGTTTTACCCACGGGGGGCGTAACTTATAGTACCAATTTGATGGAGGGGGTATCCCTTCGCGGGCTGGGATACCAAAAGGAGGTACCTTGTGATGCCGCAACCTCAGTGAAGGGTGTATCTGTAAATGTAATGTACGCAGGGCACCATAGTCGGAAGGACGGATTCAAATTTCTGTAGATTTTCATTGAAAACGAGAATTTGCGTGTTTACTAGTAAAACTTGGGGAAATTGTCGAAGTTTTCATGCTACTGGAAATCATGATAACATGTACTCATAAATTCAATAAAACTGTGTCAATTTTACTAGAACTGGCTATGTAATGGGATCTAGCTTTCAACGTGTGTTGGTCTACTGATCCCTTTCCAATTACTTTAGGTGAATTTAATGTGAAAGGTAAAACGAAACACCTTGATATATTTACGAGCCCTAGTGACCGCCCGCAACCTCTTTGTTCACACATCAAGTCTGACATTATGCTTCAAACTGAAGAAAGACGGTTGCTTCGTTAGACGAAAACGACTTAAATTAGCCCTAACAGTGACTGACCATTAGCTTCAATAATTACTGGTCATTCTCTGACTTGTTTCCATAGAGAGTCGTAAATCTTTTGAATGTTCATTTCCCAAGACGGACATCTATCTGTTGACTGTGGATCAATTTGCCGCTTTAGCTCTAAGGCATTGAAACTATTTTTTCAACTCGACTTTTAGTTTTTAATCATTTCAGTACGAAATCTAGGCTACAGGACCTGCTATTCATTACATTTTTGTTGTAAAACAATAAAACAAATGTTGTATGCGGAAACTTTATGCACCACCTTCCAATTCTGAGTGGGACAAAGTAAACTTCAACTCAGAACTTTGCTAACTGTTGCTACTTAAATACCTCAACCCATCTTGCAATACTCATACAGCAAGCAACCCATGCTATAAATCTATTAGGAGGGAGCTTTATGTTCTAATCATTCACTCTGACATCGACTTCAGCATGCCAAATATTCCACCAATGATAATGTCAAAAGTAAACTCAGCAACCACGATGTGAATTCAGAAAAATAAAGAGAATTTAATCATCAAATTCGTCTTTCTTTATATGGGAATCAAAATGTGCCTCGCCTTTTAGTTTAGGCCTATAGGATTAGTTCCATATTCATTCTCCTTAAATGCCATAGGCTATATTAAGGTCAGGTTGTAACCGGGAAAAAGTATAATATTTTATCTTACCAATCAACCAGGATTCTAAAACATGAGAAATAAAAATCGACCACATTTTCTAAGAAACGGAGTGAGAATCGATACTATCACGATACCTAACTGTGCAGGATTATTCCGTCAGAAAAAAACAACATTCCTTTATCTTCCCTAAAACTTAAAAGAACATAGGGAATTTCTTTCCTTGGTGCTTACTATAAGATACTTTTCTAATTAGTTTTAAATCTTAAGTCAGACAATAAAATATCCATAGAAATGATAATATCCATATACGACATGAGGGATGACTATAGAACAATTAAGCTTGGAAATCCGTAAAAAAAAAAAAAAATTAGGAACAGCATCATCAGAACAACTTTAAAATTTTACTTTTTCACATAAGATGACGCAATTCTAGATTCGAATATAGGTAAAAACTTGACGTTGAGTAAGAAAGCGTGCCAGTAATATTACACGAATAAAAAAAGGCAGTACCCTCGGCAAACCCAAACCTTTTCTTATTCCACTCCCTAATTTTGATGATTATTTTTTTAACAAAAAGATTAAATGGCTGAACAAAAGCAGATCAATGAACTAGTTCTTAGGGATTACGAACCTTAAATAACGTTTCAAGACGACCCTGTTTTGCCGTATACCGCAAAGCTGCAGGCATTGTACAAGACAAGGTGGGCTTAAAGTTTACCATGATATCCTGTGTATACCTGACGCGTTGACATGAGTTAAGCTAAATAAAGAACTTCCTACTTCATGATTTTGTATATGATGACAACGTAAATCAATGATCATTTCCCTTTGGGCTAGTCTCTTCCCTCCGGCTATAAATTTAAGGCAGATGTTTGTTCCCTCAAGCGTAATACAAGAATTTCACGTAGGTTTGTGGGGAACAAACGAGTGTATGGTTAATTAACTAAAATGTTGAACTAATCAAGTATTTACGACAAAGTTTCCCATCGTTCACATTTGATTAAATGTTTGTCGCATTTCGGCTATTTACTTGTGCATTAACTGTGAATATAAAATTGCTAGCCGCTGAATCTAAATATGCAGAATTCATCATCACTGTTAACCGAAAATAATGCCCTTCTGTTAATATTCTTTTGATTTTAAAGATGTTTTTTTTATCGGCAATTTGTCGTAGGTTTTCTGGCACTTAACGCCTATAACAATCTGACAATATACATGGATGCGACGCCAACCCAATCGCTTCAGAACACGACAGTGTGGCAACAATTAGTAACGTGGAAACACTCGACCTTTTCATGCCCGTTATTTCACCTAATTAACCTTTCGATTTCGCCGTTTCAAAAATATAAAGATGAAAAACGACTGCTGCTTTACTTTAGGACGTTATTTGAAAAATATATTGTTTTGAGCTGACCTACATTTACAGAAATATTTCCCCTAGACTGTTTTGAAAGCCAGGTATTTCCAGTTCCTAACCTAATTAGACTTGTAGGTGTTTACCGGAGACGACCGACTTTCTGTAGTGGGCATGATGGCTCTTAGGAACAGTTATCCGTGTGAGTGCGCAATTAGCGGTACGCAGATACAGGCCTGAGCACTCAGTATACCGAGCACGATGGCACCTTACCAAGGTCTGCCGTATAGAGTGAGTCATGGGTGTAATGGATGGGAATAATGTAATAGCTGTGACGGTCAAGGTAACTTCATAGTCCCTAGAGTACAATATTCAAGTAAACAAATCCTAGAAGATCCGAGTTCCTTGCAACAAAAAGCAACAAAAAAATGTGTCCTCTGAAAGACGGTCCGGTTAAGTGCACGTATCGACCTGCACACTTCGTTGATGTTATTTAAGAACATTTGCTAGACCTTAAAACCTTTGTCATTGAAAAAATCTCGGAAGACACGAGAGCAACCTCCACAGATTTAAGGAACACGATATATTGATCATAATTAAAGATCTGTCACTTTAATTTCAGTATGTTTTCTTGAGCGAGGAGAGGGCTATAAACTTTCTGTATTTCAAGAAAGACACCACGGCTCATCCAAAAGGAAAAATGCCCAATACCAGCAAAGATACCAGTATTCAATATTTCAAGAACACTTGTTCACAGCAAAAAAAAATGTAATTTCTTGGTTCACATTTAAAAAACAATTCACTGGCAGTTTTTAATTTCGTATCATGTTACACACCATGCATTGAAAGCCGTCACGGTCTTCAGGATTTGTACTGCGTGTGAAGTCGCAATGACGGGGCGTGGACAGGTATGAGACAGGGGTAGGGAGACACTCTTACCCCAGCAATATACATGTACGGTACACGCAGACTCTGTTCGGCGGTCACAATGTTCATCTTACTGCATCCTTTTATATAATCAGTTATAAATTCTGTATATGTCGATAAGGTTCATCGATAAAAAATATCCGATTTTCAGCAGACCATGACTGTCCTTAATATTACAGTAAGTGCTCAAATTCTCGCATGCACTTTTTTTGTCCCGTCTATAAACAGAGTGAGTGCTTGCACAGTTTACTCTGACGATATATTGAATGCTAAGGTGTCGGGTTCAAAATAGTTCATTCTCTTTTTACCTAGTGATTCATATATGAATGAATTATTCATTATACAAATTTCTGAGGTGTCTGGTACAGCAACTGGATACTCCCATTACAAATAGGTATTTTCAATTGGTTTTGCAACATTTTTTTCACATATAAATAACTTAGTTCCCCTGAAAAAATAGCTGATAAATATAAAACGACTCCACCAAAAAAAACCTTCTTGAAATACATTTCACGTCAGAGAGTAGCGGATTGTGGGCGAGGCTATCGGTGTGCCTTTTAGTTGCACCAACTGAAACATTTGGTTTACACTGGTCCGTACTAAAAGGTAGAAGCATAATAAAACTATCGTCACTACAGTTTATTTTGAAAAATCCATTTTCAAAGGGAAATGTGTTTCTTCTATTAAATTTGATTGAGAAGTGTGTGAGGCTGGAATTTTATGCCTTATTTCTGATCCTGCAGCTAAACATTAACTCGCAAAAAGTAGACGGTAATAATACATTTGCACCTTACTGTTGTCATTTTATAATATTACAGAATTACTTACTCAGATTCGGCAGGTAGCTACGGACTGTGTTCCCTCGTTCCTTCAACAGATCTTCATTCTTGGACAGTTGTTGCATGAGTTTCATGATGCGCTTCGGAGGATGGACGTCAGCTGCATGGTAACGCTTTCTAGACCAAGGATCAGATGGATCCACCAATTTCCCATCTTTAGTATAGGGACGCTGGATCGACTCGCGATTGACACTTGAAGAAAGTTCCTTGCATAACACAGTAGCGAGACAACTCATTAGTATTAACAGCTGAACAATGTGTACGCGATACTCCATTTTGTTCCTCTTTTCTAGGTCGTTTGGCAAGTCTGTCTCATTGAGTCAGTGCCTGTGTTCTCAGTAGAAAGAACATGCGTGTTGTGTTTCACGAATGTGGGAACCTGTATGAAGAAAAATGTAAATCCATCTTTGATTGAAAGTTTCTCAAAGATGATGAAAGTGTTTGAAACTTAGCAGCAGTTTTGATAAGCAGTATACATGGGTGCCAGTTTTCAAGGGTATGTTGAGGTAATGTTCTGTTGACTTACCTTCTTGAATCGTTGTAGGGAGACACACAGGGATGTTTTCTCATTGGCTACTGCTCTGCGTCTGCAGAGTTGCAGATAGTGAAATAAACACAATACCAAAACACACTGTGGACTGAGGCGTATTTGTAATAAAGCCAGTGTAGGTACCGGTACGATGCATGAAGGTCAGGTGCGTATACGACAGATTGATTGGCTCAGCTAGATGCCGAGAGTAAATAACTGTTTCTGGTTTGTTGTATCACTCACATGCTCACGTGGTACGGTATGCGTATACTGGGCCATTCGTTCCTTGTGCCTTGGTTTATTCACTGCTGTGACGTTGGTAAACGTATGCCAGATGCGAGCCAATCAGTGACCATACTGTTTGGGATGGGTCTATATAGCCGTTACTTGGAGTTTACTTTGAAGGCATATTTGTACATCTGAATTCTGTTATACATTCTTACCTTGATTTTATGGGACACAAGCCCACTACGTGCATGGGACAGTGAGGCTCGCTCTATCTATACATGCAATACGTTCCCTGCGCAGATACAGAAAGCCCCTGCACTGCTCCCATTAGCCAATGAAAACGCGTATCATAATGTGATGACAAAACATTCATCATGCATATTAATAAGCAACTTTTTGCAGAGTCCTGCCATCGTGTACGTGTGTTTGAAGTACTCCACATCAGTGGCGTAGCCACGGGGGGGGGGGGGGGGGGGACATCCCCCCATGAAACCTTGTCGCCCCCCAGTCACCCCCCCCCCCACTGAGATTTTGAGTTTCTAAAAAAATTATCATTGATCTACATGACGCCCCCCATGAAATGTTCCAGCCCCCCCCAGCGGCCCCCCCCCCCACTGAAAAATTCCTGGCTACGCCACTGCTCCACATTCATGATTATTTACATTAACCCTTCTCATATTTCATAAATAATTTACTAATATAATAAATTCATATGAATATCACAACGAGGCAGTGATCGAAGAGAAAAAAACAGTATGAAATCACAACGAGGTGATTATTTTATTTTATTTTTTATTTCATTTCTTTCTGGTAATGAAACCAAGGATTCCTCAAAAGTGCCCTTGGCACTGTAGCCCGAAAGCCTGAAAAAACCTGTAGAGAGTAGACAATAAGAAGATATTACAGTTATAGAGGTGGGAGGAAAACCCCAGAAGAATATTTTGGAGAAAACCCACGGAATCAGGTAGGGACTGAAAACCCAATCCACATATTGGCCCAGGCGTGATTAGAACCCGGGTCACAGCGATGGAAGGCGAGGACAGTACCGCTACGCCAACCTGATTTCCCTTGCCTTGCCTCGCCTCGCTCCAGAGGATGGGGAGGGGGGGGGGGGCATAATAATGGTCAGTTTAGAAGGGTGCCCCCATTCGCCAGATGATTAGCAGCCCCCTCCCCCCCCCCCCCCCGTTTTTTCGATTTTTCGGAGGCCAAGTTTCCGTAGAAAAAATGTCTACATTACGGCGCGATGTGAGTGCGGTTGCCCCCCCCCCCCCCCCCCCGCCCCGACATCACAGGCTGGATACGCCACTGGTTGTGCCTTTAAAATTTAAAGCATCAACATCAAAAGAAGTCGTTTACAAACAAAACTAAATGTATGGAGTACCCTACAAGACATGTATTTGGGGAATTTGTATAGAATATCTCTATATTGGCATATTGCCCCGCACAAGGGCATCGGGTGTACATTGTCAATACATTTGCCTATATTACTGGATACGGTCCAAATTGTTTGCATCTGATTTCAGAACTGAAGAGCTTTGCTGATAAGCGGCATACAAGGAATGTTCTTGTACAAGTTCTTGAACTCTGCGATAGGGTATCCTTCTAAGAATTCTCCATCGTGTCTCTACGCCTCAAATTCCACAGAGAAAAACAGATCGTTGCGTCGTCGGCAATCGTTGTGACCAATTGCAATTCGCTGAAAAGAATAGCTAGATTGGCAAATAAATCTTTGCAGTTAAGCATTTCAAAATCGCCATGGAAACTGTTGCTTTACTCGCTAATTTGCTGCTCACCATGTACGCTGTTGAAGTTACGAATTCAGCTGCAATTCAAGCCGATGTAGACCCTTCAATGCTTTCTTCTAATTATCTTAAACCAGCTACACAAGTTGAAGTTTTATCCTACCGCGTTAACAAAGTGAAGAGTGACTCAAGATCCAACGGGCAAATCATCCTTGATAGAGAGCATCGTGATGAATTCAATGAAGTGCTCGATTCTTTCCTCGGTGGTAACCCTGTGAAATATCAAGACAGAGATGAGGTACATCAGGAAGATCTGCTGACAGGATTGCAGGAGACAGACAAGACGTCAATTAAGTTTCTTGGCAAGGAGGATTCATCTAATACTGACTTTCCGTCGTCGGTTCAGAATGTCCCCACTTACATGATGGACCTCTATAATGCGTTCAGCAAGGATCGTTATGTCCATCCGGACGCCGAAATAATTCGCAGTTTTCTGAATGAAGGTGGGTTTCATTTAAATTTATTCCGTTTTGTAATTTCAGCTTGCATAATTGTATCTTGCCATCCCTTCAGGTTTTACAGAGTTGTATTTTATTTATAACTAGGATCAAGTGACTTAGATGACAGTTCATGCTTCGGATCAGTGACGTCATTGGAACATGGAGTAACCGGTGATCATTACTTACTGTTCAACATAACAATGCCATCCCACGAGACCGTTGTCATGGCGCAGCTTCGCATCTTCATCAAGGTTGCTTATGGCAACACACATTATGGAGGCATTGCTCGTATCATCCTTTCTCATGACTTGGAGGTTGGCACGAAGCTGCTGACGTCACGGGTCATATATAGACAAACTGATGGTTGGGAAAGCTTTGATTTGACTAGCATAGTTCGGCTAATTGTCAGTCAGTCAAAGGTTTCTAAAAATCCATCTGATGTTTGGCCTGTGGCATCCCAGTCACTATGCCTTGGGATCCATCTACAACCATTGATACAAATTGACGGCAGGTCATATCTGGATGTCGATATCTCAAATGTTATCGAGTTCGAGCCGTTGCTGGTCGTTTATTCAGATAACTACGAGAAACTCCAACACATGGGTTACCTGAAAAGGCAAGAAATGCTAGCACGTGATCGTATTCATTCAGATAAAGCTGGCCTGGCGATAACAAGTAATAGCGCCACCATCGTTCGCAGTAAGAGAGATGCAATGAGACATCATCGCCTGTGTAAACGAAGACCGATGCAAGTTATCTTCAAGGATATTGGATGGGATGATTGGGTGATTGCTCCAACACATTACCAAGCCTTCAAATGCTCTGGAAAATGTGTCTTCCCATTAACTGACCATTGGAGTCCTACTGTACATTCGATCATTCAAACATTAGCTCACGAGTATGATCCAGTAGGCGTGGACAATCCGTGTTGTGTACCTACTCAACTCGGCCCAATATCAATGTTGTATCTTGATGAGAATAATGTACTGACGTATAAATATCGATATGAGGGTATGGTGGTAAAGAAATGTGGATGCCACTAAAAAGGGTTGCCATTAAATGTGATCAACCCCAAAAAATGCTGTGATTAATTTTATTATGACGTGGGAGGCTTGCTAAGAAAACATCACTACTCTCAATACAATTTTCATTAGGAAACACGGGGTCAACACACTTTGTAGATGCTAGAGATCGTTTCATTTGCAATTAAACGGATATGAAGATTCAAGACATTTATTTTAAAACAGTACACCACCTATAATAACAAAGATGAAATGTCTTGATTTGACATCGGCAGGATCAATATATTTTCCAGACCCCGGGCTTTCCTTGCCGCCTATCCCAACCCCCATTCAACCTCTAATTTCTCAAGCGTTTACCCTCTCCTCTCCCATGCAAAACCATCTTCTCCACCTTGGCCTTGTGTCATCCTGAACTCCTATACATTCATTCTTTTGTACATAATTTTACCTGGGTTATCAGTACTCAAATATAGCTGATATAACACAAATCGATGAACGGATACAGTGCGAATAATTACATAAAATATAATTAAACTTATTACTTTTGTATTCTTAAATTTGGTCTTTTCTTGTTATCGAAGTTGGAATAAATGCACAGGCAGAATTTCTTATAGGCATACTACTGGAAAACAAGTCAAACACTGCAGTAGGCCAACATTATATTAATCCTGAAGACATCGTCCAGAATATTTTTTTTGTTCAGAGTACATCGTGCATTATTCATCACTTGGTGGCCTCTGAAATGGTTGTACAGTTTCTCGACGATGATAATGACGTGATTGAAAGGTTATTTAATCAGTGTTCTGACGTAACGACTGCCAATCAGACAGTGCACATGCGCGTTGCGTAGTGTGATGAATCTCGTCTTGCGTTCGAGCTGTCGACGACATCTGAGGTAAAGCGTTGACATGAAGAGACATCCGTGCAGAAGATGCCAAGAGACATCTCCAGTATTATGCATGATTTCTCTGTGGTGAATTCAGGTAAGATATTATTTCCATTTAGCTTTCAATCAGGAAATGTCCGTCAAGAAACTTTAATTATTTAAAGCCAATTGTGAAGATGTTAACTGAGACACAACCTTGAGATTATTGTCTTGTTCAATGTCAGCGACATACTCGGTGTGAGAGGTACAAGCATTTTCATTGTACAATAAGGACGTTTTCCTCTGCGTAATTATATAGGGAAAATAGCAGGTTGTCTCGCATGCCGTACATTATGCACGCTAATGATTCGTGTAACGTTTAATAATTGTATGTGGATTGTAATAGTGATAAATGATATGCACGCGCAATATGAATCTTTATTACTAGTCAGACTGTCTGTTGCTTTCGTCAATGTTTAACCATTTTAGCCTCGACAGCATACAACGCACCGTTTCATTATTATTATTATCAACGATTGTGAGATTGCTTTCATGAAGACCTTAAGCGTTGCATGTGGGCCTATATCCCAAAGGGTGTCCTTTCTAATTCTAATTTTGTCACAATAAACGCACGAAAGGTTTACTCATGGCTTATCCAGGCAATATAAAACCATTGCCCTCTAACTCCGCCTTAACGAATAAGGTCTATTGATTCAAGATTCAAAATTAAAAAAATTTAAGGAATGATTCGTTAAAATATAACACAAATGCATGTAATATTACTTTAAGATGTTTTATTCGTTTGGTGACCATTAAATCTGTCTTCGAAATAAACCAATTTTGTGTTACAAGGCTCTTGAATTTCATCGATGTCGGAGTATTATGAATAACATGAGAATTAATTCCGCCTGATTGACATAATTTATTCTAGCTGAGCGAAGCTTTGTACAGGACTAAAGGTTTCTAAAGGCTAATAAAATACGTGCACTACACAGAAATGTAAATTCAATAAACGAGCGTCGATTCACTGGTGCATCGTTGCACAAATATAATAAACTGTGGCGGCTTTAATATTGAATATACGAGCAAACAGCACAGTACTTTATATAAAAATGAGTTTGACTTTTATTTTTTGTACCTTACAATATTTATAAAATTAAACGTTTTCTGTTTCATTGATTGTTATTTTTTTCTGCGCGTCAAAACTGATAAGTGTCGACCGAATGTTTCGAAATATCGAAAAGGATGAATTTCATTATTTTTTTTAAAGGAGGGGGGGGGGGGGGTGCGGCAATTAGGTCCGTAAAACGAGAAAAGTTGTATGTTTTTTTAAATGCCATTTACCACACCAATCCGCTTCGTCGATCCGCGTGTTGGTTAATTACGTCAATACATAAATGACCTCCATAATTGTATTTTTGTGTCAAATTATTTCGTATTTATTTGACTTAAGTTATAATTTCTAGAAAAATGCATCGTGTATAGCGTACATGAAAAAGAAACATAGTTTCATTACATATAATTTAAATCTGATTTCATCAACATAAATGATACGCACTTGCGTCATTATGTTAATGGTTTTTTTTAATATTATTTCTGCCATTTGTTGATTATCGGAACAGAGCTATGCATAATATCAGTACGTCATCATTTTGTGTATTTTCTGATTTATACGTTACCTAGGTAACCTAAGCTAAGTCTTTGTTGACCGCATGTTGCTGGAGCTTTTGCTTGGATAAACACTCTATGACTGTGCAAACAAGCATGAGGATAATTAATACGCGGTTCAAGGAACACTTCAACCAATTGAAGTCATTTTCAAGATGTTCGTAATTAAAAGAACGACAGGCCTTAGCCTTCATTGACATTTCTAAGCAATTTGGTACATCACTTTGAAGGCCATCACCTTTCAAAATGTCATGGGTGCAAAACAACTTTAAAACTGCCGGGAGCAAGAACATACATAACGTGGACTGTATCAACAAAATGATGACTAGAGAAAATAATTCCCAAAAGCCCAATAAATAAGTTGTAAAATGATGACTATCGAAAAATAAACTTTGATAAATCAAATGATTATAAAGGCTCTAAAGCAGCGGCCTCGATTGAGCTGTGCCCAAGCTTGCTGAGCCTGCGTGCAACCGGGGGAAGTTTATACAAAAAGGCGTATAGAACTTCCGAAAGGATTAATTAGATAACATAATGATTAAATGAACACTAATCAAATCAATCCATTATTTCATCAAGAAAGCAAATGAAACTCACAGTATAGGCGATGTTTGAAGCAGTTAAACAGTCCCTGAACTAGTTTGCTCCTCGTCCAGCTTGGCTTATCCAACCTCACGTGCTATATCAATTAAGTGCAGCAGTCCTGCCACTCCCAACAAACTGTTCAGACTCCACTACACCTCTATTCCTCCTTCCTGACTACACACGTATTTCTACTCCTCTTAACAAAGAAATAACTCCAAGAACGGACTGAACTAAATACCTGCATCATAAAGCAACATGGTCCTAGTAACAATTTCCTTTGTTGTGGAATTTTCTTTAAAAGCTGCATCCCACTGATGTACTGACACAAAATCCCAGCAGAAAAAATGGTAATGCATGTCGCTAAATGAGCGAGAAGTTCTTCGATTCTGAAGCATCCCCATCCTTTTCAAAGCGTAGAATCTTACGGCGGGGTATTTCTAACAACTATACCGCTTGCTGAAATGCCTAACCATTTTTCACGTCACTAATTTGTTTATTCCTTTTTTTCTCTCTATCACCAGCTAATTCGTAAGCGCTGCATCATGGGAAGCAGACCGTCATCATCGTATGCGGGAACCAACGGAACACTGACGAACCAAGCCGAGACTGCGTTAAGAACTGAAAATAATCAACTTAAAGAAAAAATCAACGCATTTGAAAAACTTGAACCCGACAAACTTAAACAGGAGAACGAAGAACTTAAAAGACTGAACGAGGAACTACAAACGGAGCTACAGAATATTCGGGAATCAACCTCTCAAAAGTCAATTACTGATTCATCAGAGCAAGTGAACAACATGGAACGTGCCAACAAAGAAACAAAAGAAAAGCAAAGATCAACGAGAAGAATTAATTCGAATCTTACGCCTCAAAGAATGAGCGATATCGACGCGTATGGCCAAGGAATTCCATTAGAAAAGCATCCTCCTATTACAATCAAGAGTCGCCGTAAACGACACAAGAAGAAAGATACGAATGGTGAACCCGATGAATCTGAACGTGGTTCGGCCAAGGAAACAAACAATGACCAATCACATGAAATGGGCAAGGTGAATGACCAGGGGCAAAGAGAGCCAACTGAGAGTTTAACCCCTGAGAAGGATCCCGACGCGACATCGGTTAACAAGGAGCAGCAAATTGCCATTGATTCAGGGCAATCTCTTGGAAGCACGACCCCGTGTCTGTCGGTTGTTGATGATGATGATGAAAAGAAGTCATTTCAAGAAAGTGACTTATTGTCGTAAATGACAAGTGTCATATAATGACACTTGTCATTAAAGAAAGGCAAATTTGAGGATGTTAAAGGATACTGAGAGCATATAATTTGTATGATTACCATGACAACATTTAATGAGATAACACAAGTTAAAATTACATTCCATTACTAGAGCATTCCATAAAAGTTGAGTTAGAACGTGCCATGATGATAATATATTTTTGAAAGACATTTTCATGCGAAGGCTCCCTAGACTAAATCCAAATCAACAGCCGTAGACGTAACTTGTTGTACGGTTTGCTTGATTCTGATGTCCGGAAAGTGCCCATGTAGTGTGAAATTTAGAATGTATACTGAAATACATACTAGTGGTACTGCGCATGCCTCATGCTGTAGTTCATATAAGACCACCATTCATATACGAGTCCTAATTTCATATGAAACTGGGCGTATAATATTAAAACCACCTCTTTTGTTGAAACAAATCACAGTTGTTGAATATTAGAAAAGGAGGAGAGTGTGCTGGGATTATTGCAGTTTTAGTGACACTTTTACTATAAGCGATGAAGAACACTCACTGCATGTAGCCTAATCTCTTCCGTCCGTAGTTTCGATTTTGTCTTCAATTTGTCTGGTAAAATAGTGCTCACCTTACACTACAAAAACAAGTAAAACGTGACGTATGACTTGAAAAATTATGATTATTATTTAATTTTAAAAACTACAGATACACATTATTTTACCATATACGATCAAATACTCGACATTTCCAAGTCACCAACATCTTACAGGTTCGGACAGTGTCTATTATACAAGTTCCACTCAATGTAATGTAATTTTCCACTTATTTTTTGAAAGTCTAAATCTAATTATACTGTAAATTCACCACTTGATATTCTTGCATGTCTTATAGTATTACTTGCAAATAAGAGACAATTTCACTTTTTTTTTTTAAGTAAACAGTGTATTTTCATGAAGGGAAGCGTCTTCTATAATAATTTATCTATTTTCACCCACTTCTATTTTGATATGCTGGAAATAAAATATTTTAATCAAAAAATTAAAGTGGCCTAATACTTCATCCTTAGCAAGGCCGCCTTCAGAGGCAAATGACAGAGGAACAAAAACAAACATGTGGGGGACCCTACATGTTTGGTTTTAGGTTCCTGTCAGTGGCCTCTGAAGGCGGCCTTGCCAAGGCTGAAATAAACGGCCACTGTAATTTTTTAATTTGTATATTTCAGGTCAATCCAGTCAGTAAGCAGTTTGCAGCAGTTTAATTCATTTACAATAAAATATTTAACACATATTTGGTCTTAATGAGTAAAAAAGAAAACAATTCTCAGAAACATATGTATAATTAACATATTAATGCACGATTGTATATCGATGTGACATTCACATATTTTTTGTAACATTGTTATATGCCTCTTGATAGTATAAGAATAAACTTGTGTTTGACACTATCGTACCAAGTTAGAAAAGAAAAGAACACAAAAGTTCAGTAAAAGTCTAAGTATGCAAATATAGAGGAGAAAATCTTAATTATAAAATGACGCCGACTAAATAAATAATACCCAAATACCCTGTAACTATGGGGAAAAGGTTAGGAACATAGATAGTGTTCATTGCTCCAGTCTTAAAACTAGATTTTGGTTTACAGTTTGTAAATAATGGCCAATTAAATGCAACTCTTGTACATATAGCATAGTTAACTTTTAATTTATAAACCTACACTCACTTCTACATAATTTAGTCAACATCTAACAAGCTTTTTTCATAGAATTTCAACAATTGCAAGAAATATATGTAGACCTCCTGTTTTAAACATATGCATTTAATAAACTCTTTTTGGCAAATTAGTTATTTTGTTTTAAGAAATGTTTATTTCCTTTCCAGGATAGGAAAAAAAACCTACTTTCATCTCTAAACGATTTTTCATATAGTACTAATAATATAAGACACAAGCTACAATGTGTATTAACAACATGCTATAGCTCCACGCATACTCGTAAATATTGGCTGTGGATAAGGATTTCTAAAACAATTCTATTTTTATTTTCGTAAAACGAGAAGTTCCTCTTAAAATAGACGGCATTCTTTATTCTGCTACGAACAAAAAGTGTCGGTTATTTTTGTATTCAAGTAATGGTATTCCAATGTACTTAAAATCAACAATTGCTCTGTATTTTCAACACAATAAACTTTTTGCACATCCGTCACAAACTCCATTTATGTTTCCTTTCAGCTGCACTGACTTGGGTCCACTCTCTCTGATTTCAATAACATTGTTCACAGGGTTTCTAAGGAGATTAGATGGATCCTAAAAATCAAGAATGAATCCCTTTTGAAACTTTCTTTTTACAGGTGGAAATAACTAGCAAATAACCGGCCTCAGTTTCACAAGTAGCAGAAACGTGAAGTTAAGATAATTTGGATATGCCTACTTTACAAAGAGAAAAGAGCTGAAATCTGGAGGAAAAAAATCATTATCAAATTAACTATAATCAAATTTGCTATAATAACCAGAATGAAATCCTTGCAAATATTCAGCCTTTGGTTATCTGTAATATCTTTTAATTACAAATGTACCCTTTGATCAAACACGACACGCTATGATTCTAATTCTATTTTATTTTACATGCATATTCTAGGATAACAATTATGAGTAAGGATTGTAGGATATTTCCATACCAATCTCTGCATGAAGTCTTATTCTTTGCCGATAATAGCAAGCAACAACCTCTTGAAGTCACCGCCGGTATCATGTTCAACCATCTTAGACAGAGTCTTGTGATACTTCTCCAGGAATGCCTTCTTGATCTCAACAAGGTCAATCTAAACGATAGAACAGAGTTTGTGATGATACAGTAAGCATTTATAATAGACTTGATGGACGTCATGCTTTGGTTTAATGTTCACTTTCCTATGGGAGCTTAGTGGCTCTCATCCCCGATGGCTCCCATGGAAAAGAGTACATGTAAGCTTCTCAGACAACATGGGATTGGATGAATAATTGAACATAAATGGATTGTTTACCTCAGAGCGAGTGACGATAACTCGAATGAGTGTGGCTTCATCTGTACCAGCTCCTTTCATTGATCGATAGAGGCGCTCAGCAAAGTAAGCAGGTCGACTCTTGACACACTGAACTGAAAAAAAAAAACCAATTATAATCTACAAACATCAGTCTGTGTCCACTTCAATCAATATTTCTCATAGACTCTCTGTATTCACTTCAATCCATATTTCTCATAGACTCTTAAAGAATACTCAGAAAACTCGACATGTCTAAGATTAAAGGTTAATACGAATTGTAACTTACCAACAGTCATCATTCCCTTCTTCACATCTCCAGACATCTCACGTTCAATACTGTTCATGATGTCACGTTGAGAAATCTACCAATAAATATAATAAATCTAAAAATTAATGTGGCCTGACGTTGCGAACTTAGCAAGTTCTTCTTCAGAGGCTAAAACAGAAAAATATATAATACAATAAATATAATACATAAATATGCTTACAGATGTCCTCTGATTAGTATTATTCGATATATAAATCTTCAGGTACAGCACTTTCACCTTACTCAAATTTGAGACACAAACTCAACTGTCAACTCAATAAGATAACCGCGTAGGATTGAGCGATCTCCAACTAAAGTCTTATTCACTTTTGTTTTTTTGATTGTTTACCTTGATATACTCATCAAATGTTGCTCGGAGTTGTGCAAAGTTACGCACAGCCAGAATCATGTTAAAAACGGATTCGTCAGTTCCCCATTTCTTTTCTCCAGCTTGGTACAACTTGTTGGCTTCATCTCTCGCCTTGGCCATGTCAACCGCATTACCCTCATCACGGTTACCCTGAATGTTAAAAACAGACACACTGTGAGTACCACAGAGCCACAGAGCCACAGTTGTACACTGTCCTCAGCAATCTAAGATATGGATTTCAAAATCAAATGCAAACATTAAGAGGCCTATTATAAAATAAAAATATATAAGGTAAAATAAAAATGAAACAGGAAAAAATTGTAAAACCTTTGAAACTCTCCTTTCAATGAAATACACAACCAGAAATCTGAGACCTAACATGGGCTGTTATCTAGAAATGTTGTTAGTTGAAATTGTGTACGCAAGAAGATCTTTTAACCGGCTGTTGTGCTTTTAACCAAGTATATGATTGATGAATTAGCATACCTGACACATAGATACCAGAAGACGTTTGAAGTGACCACTGGTATCACCAATGCAATCTTTCTCGAGAGAGTTGTGGTATTCTAAGACAAACATAAGAAGATCACAGACAACCATTATACATGCACTTATTCCTCCTTGTCTAGTTTATACACATTCTTCTTCATGTATACCAAGACCATTCTCACAATGATGAATTCAAGATTGATTGATTTGTTGTACTCACGTTTCTTGTATTCTGCAGTCAGAGCTCTGATTTGCTCGTTGCTTCGGGTACAAAGAATCTCAATCAACGTCTCTTCATTCGTTCCAACACCCTGTCATTACAGATGCAAATTATCAAATGATTATATTGATAATCATTCGGCCTACATGTACCTGTAAAACATGTAATTTCAATGGTAAGCAGTACTGACAAAAATTTGAACCCTTTGGTGAAACATTGAAGAATGGAAGAAAATTTTGATGCTTTTTGTAGACAGCATTGTTAATGTACGGGGAAAAATTCCTTGACTATTTCTAAACATTTGTTGTCCATTGCCAGAGGGACTAGCTTTATACCTCGACTGCCCTGTGAAGCTGGTGAGCTTCAAAATATTCCAATGGCATAAAGAGAGCCAGTATGCATTCCTCCAAATTGCCACTCAGCTCCGACTTGAGATCCTTGATCAAATCCTGTATTAAGAAATCATACAAAAGATAACATTTACCTAACACTGTGAGTATTCATAAGAGTAATAAAGTCAAGACTACTGTTGACTTTCACATGATGCGCTCTCTTTAGCAATGTGCAATTATGGGTGGTACAGGAACTGCGTAGCCGATTGAA